TGTTGAAATCAAATAAAAAATAAAATGACTGTTGTTCAAATCAAATCAAAAATAAAATGACTGTTGTTGAAATCAAATCAAAGATCAAATAACAGTTCTTTGTGAATATCAACTACTGAAATAAACATAATAATTACTATTAAAAGTTTGCAAGGAAATCTTCTTATTAAGTTTCCTTGTAAAAAATAATTGGAATCAATTTATTTTTTAATTAAATTTGAAATGATTTCAAACTGAAATTATTCTAGTAAAGTTTGTACTAATTATTTTTCTGAGTACCGCCGAAAAGTAATGCGCAGCAATTTAAAATATCTGTTTGCAATTACGAATATTTAAAATTAAGAGGCCTATTTTTTGGTTGCAGTTTTTTTAGTTATATTATAATAATAAATACATATAATATGACTCATTCTTTAACTTAAATCTCTTAAATCTCACTCATTCTTTAACTTTGCTCATTATAAATAGTATGATAATACAATCTATATGCTAAATAAACTCTTAAATTGTTATATAAATTTATAATTTCTATGTAAAGTTGGGTGTGCGTTTTTATTTAAAGTTAACCACACAGTTTTTATTTCGAAAATCGTACTATTTCAAAATAGATACATATAAATATGCTTATATTAGATATTATAAATATGTTTATATTAGATTAAAAAAATACATAAAAAATATTTTTTTTTCAAATTTTTAATCAAGGTTGGTTTTTGTTAAGAAACAATTGTTTAACATTAAATTTATAAAATATTTTTTTTTTGCTCTTTCTACTTGTAGAAGAAAATTGCTTTTTTTCTGTATTATTTAATCAATGAAAGTATGTGACAAAAAAAAATTTTATTCATTGATATAAAACTGAACCAGCTAAAACCAGACTTTTTTTTTCCTCCTTTAACTCAAAAGTATACAAAATGAGTCATACAAAAAAAAAAGTGTACAAAAAAGTGTAAAATTTGGCTCTTTTCAGTTAGCTCTCTGCTGATAATTGTGATTACTGATTGAATTTTAAATTAAGATTAAGATTAAATCTTATTCTTAATATCTGTGCACACCATACTGTATGGTAACGTTGTTTCTGTGTATAGATATTAAAAAAGCCTTTTCTTAATTAATAAAACCAATATATATGGTAATTAAACCATTTATTTGGTAATTTTCTTGTTCATGTGATAACGGTTTACTGGAAATTTTAATTTTCAAAATTATAGCTCTTATTTCCACACATTTAGTACAAAATACAAAACTGAAAAGCAAATAAAAAACTCATTTTCTTGATTAATAAAATCAATATATACTGTATTTAAACCATTTTTGGTAATTTTCCGTGTTTGGTTTTAAATTATTATGTGTTTGTTTACAAAATGTGATCTTCTTGAAGTAATATTAAAATATAAGTGATACAAGGATATTTTTGTAATGAAAAAGTAAAAATTCGTATGAAAATTTTCATTATTCCTTCAAAATTCTATATAAAATCTATTTTCCTAAAAAATATTAATTAAATTTTCAATTAAATATTATTTAAAACGTTTTTCTATGTTTACTTATTAAATATTGATTCATAGGAAAAAAATTTAAACATTTTCTTCGTGTGTTTAAAAAGCGTTTAAGTAAACGGGACATTATTTGCACTTTTCCACGCTATAACTATTTAAAACTTACACAACTTACACTAAATTTTTATTAACAACTTATTATTTTATTGCTATTCTTACTATTCTATTTAAATTTCTATAACAACTTACACTAAGTTTATTCATTGCTGGTACAATTATTTTATAATAGAAAATGAATGCCAAATATGAACTATGAGCTTTCAAAGAAATCAATGATTTGCTTATTGCATGTAAATAGCTTTGAAACCTGGCGGAAATATTCCTAATAATGGACAAGTTTAGGACCAAAACCTTAATTCTAACTCCCACGCCTCCCAGAACCCATCTCTTTAGTGGAACTAAGCCTGCGGAACAGTTGACCTTCCTGGTTTATTTCCACTCGGCCAGAAGGGTTCCTTACAAACAAAGCAAGTTCTTTTTCTTACCTTTTTTAAGGGTTTGGTCCATCGGTCCGGTCTCTTCTTCGATTGAAGACTCCCTTTTTTATACGCCTCTCTTCCGTTCGACATATTTTTTTTTCTTACTTCAGTCGGGGTCACAAACCCCAGAATCCTAATGTTGGGAATAATCATTCCCTGAAAAGAAATTAACCCTTTCTATTTTTTATCGAACGATTACTCCTCTGAAAAATACGAATAAAAGCAAACAAGAGTTGTTGTTTACGTTTGCCCTCCCTCAATTCCATATTGTACTCATAGGAGCAGATGTTGGCAGGTGCGGTCATTCTTCGAAGACCGTTTTTTTTGAGGGCTAGGAGAACTCCTACCATGTGAGATTTATTGAAAGCATTTCCGTCGATAACCTGATTACTATGTCCTGTCTGGAGCACCAAAATATATATTTTTTTCTCTGCGGAATGATTTGTTTTGAGAGAAAATTCGTTTTCGAAGTAGACGAATATGTTATCCTACTGTTAGAATTTATTTATTCATTGAGATATAATTAAAACAAAATTTAAATGAAACTGCATTTTTTTTTAATTGAAGGATTTGAGGAGCAATATAATGGTAGGCCACATTCTCAAATTTATTCAGTTTTTGAAAAAAGGAAAAAAAAGTGATTTTTATGTAGTCGATAAGTTGTTTCTGTGTATTGTGTTGTTATGTTTTTATCTTTTAGATATTCCGAAACCTTGTCGAGTATGTATTTGTCTTTAAACAATGCGAACAAATATTTTGATGTAAAAATGTCTCTTGTGGAAAATATGTGCCTTCACACTATATTTTCTTATCTTAATCAAAGTTTTTTCTATCCGAGTACAATTTTCGTCAGTGCATATTACTTTTTTCTGAATAGTCTCTTATCCTTTACTTTAATCTTGTATATATATATATATATATATTCATCAAGATGCCAATTTAGAAATAATTTGGAACAAAAAGGAAAATTTAAAGACTAAAAGCTGGAATTAAAATTATGAAGTATAATAATTTCTTTTCGAACGAAAAATCATTTAAATTTATTTCTTTAACTGTCTTAAACGTAATTTTTCATTCCGTATCATTATCGCACATGTGGCGAAATTTCCGCAGTTCTTTGCAAGTTTTATTTCTGACGAGCTTACAATTTTAATAATTTAAATCGAAATAGAGGAAATTTTATAAATACGCATTATTTCATAAATGGAAAAAACTTTACTTTACACGGTAAAAAAATTCCGTATTAAAATACGGTTAAAAGTACTGGATTGGACGTATTTTTTATAGTAAAATTCATTTTCACGTAAATTTTTACGGAACAAAAAATCTAATAATCCGTTATTTTTACAGTAATATTTACAGTAAAATCCCTGAATCACTGTAATGAAATAAATAGTATGTAAAAATTACGATATAAAATTTTACGATAAAATGGATTTAACGTTAAAATGGATTTTACAAATACTGCTCTCAGTGTGCCAGTACTTTTTACCGGATTTTTTTTTTAGTATAAAAAATTCAGCGTGATTTGTGAGTGACACTTAAGTTACCTTTCTTGCCATCGGGAGTAAAATAAAAAAATAAAACAGTTGATCACATAAGGGCCGCAGGTTGCCGACCTCTAGGATAGTAAATCCGAGATTCATTAATCCTTTCAGTTTCATAAAATAAAATCATCCTCAAATGATAACTGCGTAAATGCCATTAATCAAAATATCCGTTTTCAAACAATGTCATTCTTATAAATTTTTATGATCAGATGTAGAATATAAAAACCTTAAGCTTTGAATGATTTCAGTTGATCTTCTTTCATTGTTTATGAAGCCGCCGTAAACCCAATTTCATGATAATTATCAACGGGCAAAATGACAAGTTTTTAGTCTTACTTCCTTATGTTAATATTTACAGCTTCTTGCAGATGGGTGCCTCCTCTATCTTGTATTGTTTGGTAACTTGAAACACTAATTATTGCAATCCTAGTTTTTATGTCTTTAGGACAGAAACGGCATATTCAATATTAAAAGTTTTTCTTTTGTATTCTCAATTCAAGTTTATTATTTTCGAAAATAATTAGAATTACTCATTGTTTCCTTCTTTCAATAAATTTTACCACCATAATGCGGTATAATAAATCTTTGCTATTATTTTACTAATTGAAGATTTTGAGTCAATATAATGATAAGCCACATTTTTAAATATTTCGAAAGATTTTTTTAAGTGTGGTTTTGGTGAAAAGATCACGATTCCCATCTGGATGTTTCAAAAAGATGTTTCTATGCAGTTGTCTGATGGAACTTCTTAAGTACCAATCTAGAAACAATACGATGGAACAGTTTTATTTGAAAATCTAACTTTTGACTAAAATGTGTCTGAACATTACATTTCCATAAGTGAAGTAGTATTCGTAAAGTATTCTTTAATTTTCTAGCTATGATAGTTCTTCAATGTAACTTTTGCATGTTACATTTGATCACATGCATAGTTTTTGCAAAAAAAAACAATTTTAAAAAATATGAATTGTGGTTTCTTAAAAAAATATCTTTATATATACATGGAACTTAGTACTCATAAATTGTTCTCAACAATAAACATTTTTATTCAAAAAGTATATTAAATGTCTACAATAAATTTAACAATGAGAACTCCTTTACTGAAGCAAAAACCATTAACTACGATTTTTGATTTTCTTGATTGTATTTTCTTTACTTTTAACTTTGTTGATATATCGTTTTTGTTATTATATAAATTTTGTAGCTGAAGTTACACTAGATAAAATATAAAATTATAAATTGTTAATTAGCTATTAAATTCTCAAAAATGATACAATGTTAATTAGCTATTAAATTCGATTAAATTATGTCAATTTTATAAATATATTTGAATGAATTCAATATACTTATTGTTCTAAACTGTTTTAAGTAATTTTATGATGATTCACAATATATTTTTGCTTTTTTTCTAGGTAGAAAATTAATGTTGCTTTGAAAAAAAGAAAAGTGACTTCCTTAAACTGCTCGCAACTCCCCCAATCCGCCCAAACAAAAATGGGACGAAAAAAGATACAAATTTCACGGATAACCGATGAAAGAAATCGTCAGGTAAGAACGTCAATTTACATATCGTAACATTCGTTACGTAATATTACATATCGTCAATTTACATATCGTATTATTCAAAGTTGGTTGTTACAAACTACAGATATAAAAATAAAATTGTAAATGTATTTTTTATAAGCAGAAACTACCTGAAATTTTGAAAGATTATTATTAAGTATTAATGACATTATTGCTAATCTTTCTGTTATTAAATACAGTGAATCGTTTCCCTTACGTACTTTTTTATTGTTTCTATGAATTTAAGCAAATATATTTTGAAAATAGGATTGATAAGAATAAAATATATTTTTATGACTTTTTTTTATTTTTTGTTATCATAATTGAACAGCCGACCCAATTTTGAATTTACGAGTTCCTATGTTCAACTCCGTAGCCTTGTAACTTTGAATCCAATCTAGAAGACAAGGGAACTCCTGGATCAAATATTGGGGAAAATTTTGCGTTCGTGGAGGACTTTTTTGATGGAACTAACCTGCATTTGCATTACAGTACAGAACCCGTTATCCGGAAATCAGAAAACCGGAAAACCAAAAAACCGGAACGAAATTCGATAAATTTTCTTGCCAATTTAAAAAATAAAAAAAAATTTTCCTCATAAGATTTTAGGATTTTTCTTTATTTTTTGAAAGATGTTTACCTTACCATCACTTTGGAAATAATCATTAGTGTATTACTTCATCGTTTTTTTCTTCTTTTTAAGATTATTTCCAAATATATATTTTTTTTAAGTTGGGTTTAACAATAAAAAAAACGGCTTTTTGTAGCGATTCAGAAAACCGGAAAAATCAGTTATCCGGAATAGCGATGGTCCAGATCGTTCCGGATAATAGGTTCCCTACTATATGGAAAAGAAAAACGGGAAAACCTCCACCGATTAGCCTAATGTCAAAGGAAAGCTAACCCATGATCCATCTACCACTAAAGATATTTTACGCCAACATTGCGATCGGTGCGAGCCGGTCGAGGAATTCGACCAGCCATCGTTGGAATTCGAACTCGAGTCACCTCATTGGGAGGCGAGTGCTCTATCTTTGAGCCGCTAAGGCTCAATATGTTTATGATTATGATTATGAATATGAAATATGATTATGAATGATTATGAAATATGTATATGTTTATGAATATGTATATGTTTATGATTATAAATATGATTATAAATATGTTTATGATTATAAAATATGTATATGTTTATAAATATGTATATGTTTATGATTATGAAAATACACTGGTCCAAGGTACAGCATTCTCCTTTATTGTATTTTTATTTAAGCATATACTTTCCAGGCATATAATTTTAAGCATATACTTTTATGAAAATTAGATTATCGAATGTGCGTATCCAAAATCATCCAAATGTGCATATCCGAATAATCCAAAAATAAAAATACTGATATTTTTAATATGCCCTTTAATTGATTTTTTTCCAAACGAAAACTTTTTGTTTTAGACATCATTTTCTTTAATTAGAAAAATTTATCACCTAACTGACCTATGAAAAAGCAATTTCATACACCTTAACCTTTCTCACTGAATACGAGTTTTAATTTCTACTTTTTCATTCTAACCTTTTAATTCAAATCCGTATATTATCGCAAAAAAAAATCTTTTTTATAGATCTTATCTGAAAGGATTCGTTTGAACGATAACTTGCCCTTGAAACAAGCCCATCTCTCTAAACAGTAGCGGAACAAAGTACAAGATGACGTTGAATTGTTATTTCAACTTCTCATTTCAAAACTAGGTTCTTTTGTCAACATTTAAAAAGAAAAGTTGGGAAGATGTCCTGAGATTTTTCTTGTTAGCTTAATCTATGTAAATAGTGCTACACTCATATTACTTACTAAGTGCAAGTATTTGGGAAAGGATTTTTTTTTAAGTTAGGAATATTGTTTAAGTTCGTTATAGTTGAATAAAGACATTTTTAAAGATCGTCTGATTTCAGTAAGATTAAATTTTGTTTATGAAATAACTGTAATTATAGAAATTGTAACGAAATCTTTGATAGCAGAATAAAATTAAAATTATTTTTGTTCATGAAATATATTTTTATGATAAAGATAAACGTTTTGTACATTTTATATTAAATATTATTTCATTTGTGAAAATGAGTCCAGTATACTGCTTATTTTAGGATCAAAAAACTTAGAGAAGTGCAATTTCAGAAAATATTATAAATTTTATTTTCGAACATCTAAGGTCAAATATCTATAAAAAAAAATGTCAGAAAAGGTTTTTTTTTTCCCAAATCAACATCATATCTTCTGGTATTATGCTTTTAAGAAATTGCATCATATTTTTTAGCATCGTATCTGATTTTAATCTTATGAATGCATATTTCATTAGATTATATCTGTTTGTATAATGCTTTTAAAAAAACATAATGCAGAAAATAAAAATTACAATAAAAATACATTTAGATATTGACAAGCAATTTGATATTAGTTGTTCTTGCATCATGAAAATAAATTTGCGTAACTGATTTTTTGAAAGCAATAAAATTGCCCAATTTTTTTTTTTTTTTAACTCTTTCGTAGTTTTTTATAATGAAACGACAAATGATATAGGTAAAATTTTTAAGTGTTCAACATTTGTTGGGAACATTTTATTTTCTATTCTAGGAAATATTAGCATCACCTCTGAATTTTAGCAATTAAATTAAAGAATACATATTTCTATGAGCAGGTGTATCTTTTGTGCACTCTATGACAAATAAAATACTTTATACTAATTTTGTGTTTATGGTGAGGATTAATTTTGATACATTTTATCAAATATATTTCCTTACTTGCATCAAATTATTTACAACCAAATAAGTGGTACACAAGTAATACATTGTGAGCCCAGTGGGTTTAGAGGATATAGCTCCAAACTCGTACACGAGTGACGCGGGTTCAAACCCTGGTTATGACTGGTGTGATCGTATACTATTTCCAGTCTGTACTAACCACAATACTGACATAAAATATTAAAATATTTTTAATTGGAGCGTTATGACTGTGTATTTATATTTTTCCTTTCCACGGAATTTCCAATACTTAGTGTCTTTCATGAAATCCTCCAATACTTGACTCGGTTATCTAGTCTTCTGAGTTGGTTTTGATATTACAAGGACATTTAAGGGAACTTATTCACTGGTATCAATAGATTTAAATACTATAATATTTGAGTCTTTGAATCACTAAAAATTTTATATAATGACTGAAATGTAATTAAATCATTTACTCTAAATGTAAGTTTCAATTTGTCTTTTTCTTCTATTTAATGAACTTACACTCACACTACTTACACTCACTTTCATTAACTTCCATGAAACTGATTTGCTCTTCTAAGTCATAATTAGCAAAGAAAAAGTTACCGCCACGACAGTGACCGATTTATAAGCTGAGTTTATTACTGGTAAAGGTCGTGATCAGATTTTATGTGTTGCATCGGCATTTTTCATCGCCATGGAATCTTTTTTTCCTGTTTGGCGAGTTATATTCGATGCTCGCCAAACAACTATTTCTAATAGCACACTGACATCATTCTTTATTATTTTACTTCTGACGTTGCCAAAATAACGTAACAAAAAGTAGGTCGAGCCGAACTGATTGTTTTGGATTTCATATTCGTCCATCTTTCACCTTTCCATACATTCCCTTCTCTCTATTCATTTATTTATTTAATCTTCATCTTCTTTATTAGAAGTTGGTCATTGGCATCAAGAGTGTTCTTTTCTTTTTGCCGTTTGTAACGGGCCTTATTTGTTAGCGCTCGCCTAACTGTTCATAGAATTTTATTTAGTCATGCGGAAAATGAATGTCATTTACCTTCACTAGTGAATCGATCTTGGTGAAATGACGAGCACTTGTTATCATTTTTTGTTGCCCTTATTCATATAAATTACACACGCCTGGATTTTATTTTAATTTTTTGCAAAATCTAGAGCTATTTATTTTAATCTGTGTAGATAATTTGTGTTTTTTAAGACTTCTGCTTCCTGATATTAAAGTCTAGGTTAAACACTAAATTCATTATTTCAATAAGAAATACGCCATTTACCATTACTAGTGAATCATTCTTGGTGAAAAGACTTACACTTGTTATCATTTTTGTTTCCCTTATTTATTTAAATAAAGCCTAACTTTAACTTTATATGTATTCTGATTCCTGAGTCTGAGTTTACGACTCTCAATCAACTCCGTAGCCTAATAATTTTGAGCCTAACCCGGAAAACAAGAGAACTCCTGGATAAAACATTTGGACAAATGCCTTCGTGGATGACTTTTTGATGGAACTAATTGCGTTACATGCAGAGGAAAACCACGAAAACCTCCCCCGGTTAGCCCGATGGCAAGGGGTTTCTAACCCATGATCCGTCTACGACTGAGGATATTTTACGTCAGCACTATGGTCGATGCGAACCGGGAGCCTAACTCGTATTAACCAATCAGTCTATATAGTTAATGAAATTTTTGTTTCGAATATAGCTCAAACTAAGCGTTTAAGAAAAAGAAGTTACCTTAACCTAATAGTTTAATGCATAGTTAACTCAAAATGTGTATTTAAGAGCACAACGAACATAGCTTGAAACGAGCACTTAAATAACTGAACATAGCCCATAATACGTCTTTTAAATGTGAAACTAGAGAGAGCCAAAGCATGGCACACGTGCCACAAATGGCACATGAAGGATTCTGAGCTTTATCACCAAATATTGAAAAATTGATGAAAATTATAACAATGTATCATTCATATAAGCTTTTCTCCTTAATTACTTATACAACATTTGTCTCATTTTTTTTAAAAAAAAAAAAAAAAGCTTTTTGACGCAGATGGGACAGATATTCTTTTATATCCTTTTACGTATACATTTTATATATTTTTTTCTAACGCTCTAGTTATAAGCAAAAATATATTTTGGTATTGTTTGATCGTAAAAAACAGTCTAATAGTTATCACATCTCTAATCTAATAGAATTCTAATAGAGTTACATTTGTACAGAAAGATTAAATCCAAAATAGTAAATTTTGTAAATTAAGGAAATTACAATGATGAATAATTCTTGCGCTTAGATCAAAATAACTGAAAATAAGTGCAAATAAATCCAAAATAAGTAAATTTCGTAAATTAAAGAAATTTCAATGATGAATAAATCTTGCACTTAGATCAAAAAAACTGAAAATAAGTGCAAATAAATCCAAAAGAAGTAAATTTTGTAAATTAAAGAAATTTCATTGATAAATAAATCTTGCGCTTAGATCAAAATAACTGAAAATAAGAGCAAATTTGGAGAAATATTGTTCGGAAGTGAGCCTTGGTTAGAAGATTTTAAATTTAACGCAGAAAAAGACACCGGTATTTAATGCTGTATTTCATAACCAAAAATTATTAAAATGCTAAATGTAATGTTTTTCACTTATTTTGACCTAAATTAATGCAAAATAATGAGACACGTTTGAAAATATGTTTAATAAAAATTCTGCGTTAATACAACACAGAATTTATTAATAAAATATAAATTTGCTTTCTTTTGAATTAAAAAAAAATTATTTTGGGCTTCTGATTGCATATTATTTTTTATAACTTTTGGCAAAACTTTATTATTTTTTTTATTATGAAATTAATTTAATTGTTTTTGGTGCAGAAGGGAGGAGCAGATTAAGTGGAATGACACACACAAGTTTTTTTACACTAAACGTAACACTTAAGCTTCACACTATTGGCCACCTCTAAATTAAACAATAAGCCCAATTTTTAAACACCTACGTCACTCTTGAAGAAAGAAGCGTACAAGATCAATATAAAAATTTGCTTTTTTTTTCTAAAACTAAAAGTAATCATTATTCTTAATTAAATTCTTTTAAAATAATTAAGTCATCAACAATGACACCCGCAGAAGTTTCAATAGGGGGTACAATCAGAGGAAATTTTAATTATAATGTTTGAAAAATCATTTATAATTTTTTTTCTTCTTTTTATTCCTGGAAGATATTGTAACAAGTTACATCCAATAATTAAATTAAAGTTACTAAATCAGCAGTTTTTAGTAAAAGTTATACGTAAAAAAATTACTGCAAAAACTTGTTTTAATTAATTTTTTGTAAATTAAATAAATTATGAGCACAAAATAAAAACAATACATTCCAGTGTTGTTATAATTTCTTTTTAATTTTCAATTTTTTCCCCACATTTTTAAATCTTTTAATAAGCAAAATATATATATATATATATATATCAGTTCATTATAGCATTAAATTTAAAAAATTATGCTTGTGTTCAGTTTCAGAATCGGAAAATATTCATAGTGACACTTAACAACCCTTATTTCTAAAAGTGCAAAATTTAAAAAAAAAATAACAATAATAAAAATAATATTAATTTTTTTTTAATTATTAGACTAACAGGAGGGGGGGCAAGGGCACCCTCTTGACCCACTTGCGGACTCCATGCTTCGTTATTTTCTTAACCAGGCACTTTAAGCTACGTACCTACTTCAGTCGCCCATCCATCTCCAAAAAATTTTTAAAAAAAAAATTTAAAAAAAGTTTTCCGACGTATTTATTTTAATTGCACTATTCTACAGGTTTTATTTTTAATTAAATTTATAGTACTTATAAAATTTATTACATGGGACTAAAAACGTATATCGTCGATAATGTAAAACTTTTCTTTAATAACGGCAGACTTTATAACTCCAACATAACTTTTATTCGATGGACTTGAAATTTTAGCTGATAGTAAAATGATGAAGTAGTTTCTGTTGCAGAGAAAATTTAGGAAAAAGAAATAATTGAATTAATTTGAATCTAATGTTTAATTTATCAAAAACTCAAAATTCAATTAAAATACTCTTACGTTAAAAAAAAAAGAAAAATATCGAATTAATTTAAGTCTAATGTTTAATTTATCAAGAACTCAAAATTTAATTAAAATACTCTTACGTTAAAAAAAATAATCGAATTAATTTGAGTCTAATGTTTCATTTATCAAAAACTCAAAATTCAATTAAAATACTCTTACTTGCATTGGAGGCTGCATTCCCTATATTCGTGCTGTTTAATTTCTTATTAATTCGTCTCTATTAATAAATAGTAATATCTAAATGTGTGTCGATACAAAATTTGCTGTATTTATTATTTTTGTCGAACAATCACAACTTCTTCCTTAATTGAATTGAATTGGTAAACAATAAGCTAAAAGCTGCCATTAAATTCCTTACTCGTGTCGTTTAAAAGTTCTAGCTAATGTACTCTATAATTTTAGTTTAGTTTTTTATTTAAATACCGAATGGTGAATAAACGTTCATATTCATTGATTTTACTTTCAGCAAATGTTGAAAGAAAAAAAAAATAGCTATCTGGAAGTTCAGTACAGTGTAATTTAGATTTTAAAGCGAATTATAATATTACATATTAAAACTATCCAAAAAGAAGAAAATAAGCAAAAGATAGCAAAGAATAACAAATAATATACAATTACCAATGATTGCTAAAAAAAACATTTCCTGTTTCTCTCCGCTATCTCCAAAAAAATAATAAAAAAATTTTGAAAGAAAAAAAAAACAATTCTTTAAGTAGTAGAAATTCGCTTAGAGAATGGAAAACGAAATTTAAAACATAGTGGCGCCATCTACTAGCAACTATACAAAATCACTAAAGTGAGCGAATTAATCTAAAAAAAAAATATTATAACTTTAAGATAGTGGCGCCATCTATTAAACCATTCAGCATATACTTTAGACTCTATGTGCTAGCTATTTCACCAGATGGCACCACTATGCTAAATTCCTAAATACTGTAATCTTTTATAGTATTTGCTCGCTGTGATTATTATTTGGTTACCTGGGTGAGAGGAATAGTATGAAATAAAATCAATCTTTTTTTGCACCAAAAGTTCTTTTTTAGCCGTAAAAAAGCTTCTAATATTATTATCAAACAAAATGAATCGTTATCGTTAAAATAGATCAAAAATACTATTTTCTCGTCCATTCAAATAAAGAAAATTATTTTCATTCTGTCCTTAGTTTGTTATACATTTTTATTAAACTTGTCATTGTTATTTATACTAATTTTCCAGATATTAATTTGAAAGTAAATTTCTGTTTAGAAAAAATATATTTACATTTTAATTTAGCATTATAATGCAGATGAAATTCCTTTGGAAATGGTACTGGAAATAAAATTACGGACCGCAGCACACCTAGATGCTTATCTCCGATTTAAAAAAATTGTAATTGCCTTAAAAGAAATTAATGGACCTAAGATATAATTAACACGGAAATTTAAGCAATGAATTAAACGATTTAATTGGGGGTATCTGTCACACTAGACGCCAAATGGATTTCAAAGTTGCAAATTTTTTTTAAAAAAACATTTAGTGGCTTGCCCGGTTGGAACTAGGAGTGATACTCTTCCAGTTGGTTCCCCTCTGTGATGTTTTTTCTTTTTTTTTCATGTGGGCCACTGCACCTAAGTTTCCTAGACTTGGCGATAATTCTGCAGCTGATCACGATACAGATTTCAACCCAGGGGGTTTGGGAATGATAAAATATTATTCCAATTTTTTTTTATTCATTTATTATTAATTTTTATTTTATTCCAATTTTGAAACTTCATAAAATTTGAAACTAACTATGAAAATTTTTTAGTTACACATTTTTATGATTATCCCACTCATAGTTTCATTTTTATTTATAGGTTACATTTACTAAAAGAAAGTTTGGACTGATGAAAAAAGCTTATGAGTTAAGTGTACTATGCGACTGCGAAATCGCACTAATCATCTTCAACAGTACCAACAAATTGTTTCAGTATGCTTCCACTGACATGGATAAAGTTCTTCTGAAATACACAGAATATAATGAACCACATGAGAGTAGGACTAATAGTGATATTGTGGAGGTAAGTTTCATATTTAAAAAAAATTGTCATTTTTAAGCATAAATTTAAATCTAAAATTTTTCATTGTGTTGTAAACTTTAACTAACATGGATATATTTTAAGAAAATTATTAATCTTTGCTTCTGAACAATTCTGAGTATTTATAAATTATTTTTATTCTATTTAAGTATATATTGTTTTATTTTTTTATTATGTTAAAAAATTAAACATGTATGTATATATGTATATGTTTTTTTTTATTATTGTGGGTACATTGACGTAATTCTTTAAATATTTGTTTCACACTGTATTGGTTGTATTTTTATAAGAGATAAGATTTTAAGTCCTAATTTTGCTTGAACAAGTTATCAAAATTGAAGGAAGACTCAGAGTTAGATTGGTATTGTTTAAAAGTAATATGTATGAATTAATAAATTGGTAAGTTTTATTTTTCCTTTTTATTGTTACTTATAGTCAAAAACACCATATTGAATCTGGACTACGTGGAAGTAAGTAAATGTAAAATGACTTATATAAACTGTTAAGGACTATTGTAAATTATAATTATTATTATAAACAGTATTAAAGTGGAAATTATTAGAAAATATTTATTTTTATTAACAAATTTTTAAAAAAAATTATTGTATTTTTTATGTATATGTATGTATTATGTTTATACAATTCTTATATGAAAGAAGTGATGTCAGCAACAAAACAAAAGAAGATTATGTTTATCATATTGTAAAAATGTTGCACTTTTTATTGAATGGAAATAAATATTTGCATACCTATATTTAGCAAAAACTAAGTCTGCAAATTTTCATTACTATATTTTAGGAAATCTTTGTTGCGCTAATGTCAAATATTGTATCATTCAAAATATTAGATGTGTTAAGAATACATTGTTTTATTTCAGGGATTTTTTTTTTGTTGAACTTATTTTATATTAGTACTTTACAGGCATTGAATTTTTTTTTTTTTTTTTTTTAATGAGTTAGAAGGTTGTATGTAGAATACTTTCTAACATTTTCTGCTTTCTGCCTACTATGAATTTTATCAAAATAATTATTCCCTATTTAATAATAAAGAGCATACATGGAATTTAAAAGCTTTAGTAATAAAGATAGAAATTCAATTGCAAGCTAAAAGCCTGTTTATGCTTCACTAAAATGTATAGCTTAATTTCCTTAACAAGAATGGGTGCAGCAATTTCAATTAATTAGTGGAGCAACCTTTATTAAAAATTTAAAAATGGTGCATTTCAGTTGTTTCTAAAATTCTTTATTATTTATTAAATGTGAAAATAATCTAATATAGTGTAGTGGCTATTTTTTTTTTAAATTTCTGAAAATCTAACTTTAATTAAAAAATTTCAAAAAGTCAACTTTTTAATTAATAAACTATGTTTTACTTAGTAATTTTTTTGTCAATGACCTTCTGATTAATTTTTAAACCTATTTTATGACTTATTAAATGTATATAATTTGCAGATTTATAAGCCCACTAATTGTTTAGAGAAATCTCTTATAGAATTCAAAATTGGTTTTCTATTCAAAATCTGAACTTCTCATAAACTCCCTATCTTAAATTGATTTTTATTTAAGCTTACTCTTTCTAAATAATTACTTGTAGTTCTGAATAATTAGATGTGTTTTTTTTTTAATGTCTTGATCAAGTTTTATAATTTTAATTTTTTTTTTTTTTTTTCGGTTAATAAAATTTTTTTATCCAACTTACAAATTTTAAGACATCATCAATAATTAACTGTTTTCCTATATAGTATACTTAAATTATATTAAGTTTCACCTTTATCTAACCTTTTCAGTTTTAAATAAACTACAGTATTTTATCGTGATATTGAAATCGAATAATTTGCAGAAATTACATATATAGTATAAAATGATTGTTACTTTTTATAACTATAATTATAACATTTTGAAAATTGTTAATAAAAATGAGAAAATAATTTTAAAATGTCTGTTAAAAATAGACATTTTTTAATAACTTCCTCTCATAAAGCTTGTAAAATATTTCAATATCTGTTAACATTAACATGTTTGTCTTATCATTCAAGAAATTAAAAGTTTAAAACTAAGGGGAATCTAATCTGGTTTATTTTATTGCAGCTTTTTATGAACTAACTAGTTTTTATAATTTACTCTACAAAAGAAATTCCAAACTTTATCTAGAATTCATTGTCTACAAATCATCTGAAAAAAATTAAACTAGTATTTCGATTTATTAAAAGCTATAAACCTTTTTAAAAAATTGTTATATTTTAAATCAAAACATTTTTTGAATCTGGCTTATGAAAACTTCTGTAAAACCATAAATTGTGGAATTTCGAGCATACAAACTTAACAAAAAAATGTGAATGATCAAAACCTGGTAAATCAAATGAAGTTAAAATGAAAGGCAATGTTACCTACAGATAAAAATGAAAACTGGAGAAAAAAAACTGTTATGGTCAAAAACGTTTTTATACCCGTCTGGTTACAATGATTTTATTACCTTTTGTTCAATTATATAGCCCTCTACTGGGTAGAACCCAACTTTAGCCCCCCCCCCTAAATTTTTTGTTTTTTGTCCTCCTATTTTGCATCTAAATTAGTTTTACTTTTATATTTTACCTTCTTAATATTTAGCTGTAATCGGTGGTAAGCAAGATTTATTAAAACAAAGAACATTTTTCAAAAGTTTGCACATTATGAAATGCACTGAATTGAGTTGTACTAAATATTTAGACTCTGGCTACTCATCACCCAGGCATTTTCTATGCTTAGCTGTAACCATTAGTCAAAATGTATATTAATTTGGGGAAAGTTACTGTTTTTTTTTTATTTTGTTTGGTTTAATGCCTTAATTGTTGAGCTTCTCGGTAAATTTTGTGAAAAAATGCTTATTGAATCTTTATGTGTTAAATGACATAAAACTGAACCACTTTGTTGCACAAAACATTGACAAGCCTGACCTAAATTTTAATTCATTAGCTATTAAAACAAAGAGAATGTAATTCAACACTTGTGATGGAGATTACTTATAAGAAATACTCACTGAGTAAGAAGGAGAGAAATTACAAAAATATTATGAAATTGATCAGAAGGAAAAGGGCTCTTCAAAGCAAGAATGTTCCTGACAAGAATTCTCATAACCCACTGATGGTTCTGCAAGTAAAAAGTCTTATTTTAACATGCAGTCTTCTCCGCATAGCAGAACCGGTTTTTCCATGTAGTTAGATAGGGAAATAGTGTATAAAAAAGTAACGTTTTCCCAAATTTGTCCATTTGCTAAACCACTAGTGGTTAATGGTTAACTAAGAAACATTTTATTTTCTGACCAAAAATCTTTTGATGGATAGGGATCTTTTTATAAAATCAAACAGAGAGGGGCTTTATTCTATTTTTAGTGAGCATATTTTATATACTATCCAAGATGAGTGTAATTGTTTTAGATATTTTAATTTATTTTGTTCTGCAACATTAATGAACATGCTTTAAAAACAGTGTTTTTATTTTTTTTAAATCATTGCAATTTATTTATGTACATGAGAAAAAAAATCTTTATTAAAATAAACCAAACTTAAAGCATTATTCTTTCAAACTATATAACTTTTTTTTTAAAAAAAAATATATATATAAATTATTTTATGCCATTTCGTAAAAGAAATTTTCTATTTTTATATTTTTCTTCTATTTAATTTTTTAAAATTTCAAGCTTTTTTAATCATAAATTTTAAGCTTCCTTTTTTATGTCAAAATATAATTTTAGACCACAGTAGTACTCAAAATTTGAAGATTTTCAATTTCAGAGTTATGGAACTTTAAATTTTGTGCATCAAAACTCTATTTAAAAAGTTATTCCAGTTAAATTCAAAAATATATCTGCAAAATGCTATGTATCTGAATTTAAAATTTCTGAATCAAAAACATGATATATTTTACCATTAAAAGTTCAAATCTGCTTCTTGTTAAAGTATATGTTTAATTGTAGGCTTTGAGTAAGAAAGAACACAAAAGTTCTTCAAATGGCTGTGATTCCCCTGAACCGGAAGAATATGCTCTAACTCCAAGGACTGAGTCTAAGTTTAATAAGATTAATGAAGAATTTGAAATGATGATGCAAAGAAATGTTCAACTTAATGGAAACAGAGTTAGTTTGTGATTTATGTAGCGTGGAAATGCTTTAGTAGTATATGTGTCATAGTTGCTTGCATGTGAATGTGCAAAATGTTATATTATTTCCCATTTTTATTGACTAATTTTTTTACGATGGATGTTAATAATTTTTAACCTATAATATTGCATTCCATCTGTTTCATATTTTTGTTTCTGACTTTTTGTTATGATTTTTTTTTTTGTCTTTTTTCTTTTATTAATTAAAAGCTTTCTTGCATAACTTAACTTCAATAGATTTTGTCAAGATATCATTTGAATAATATGCTTAATTAATAACATATATTCCCTGCTTATGTATGTTACAATTTTTTAATAAATAATTTTATTTGTAAATCTCCCAATTTATCCTTTATAGATTATTTTGTCTGGCTACAAGTTTTTAAATAATTTGGCTATTTCTATCAAATTATCCAAGAAGCAACTTTTTTGTTTATTTTTTAGAAACAGTACATTATCCTTGTTAAAAATAAGTGATATACACTTTTTCACATCAATTATCTGTTTCGAAACAATTTTATAACCTTATGTATTTTTCAAAGTTTTGAACGGAAATCTGAAGCAATTTGCTTACAAGAAATGTAGGAGTTATATTCATCATACAGCTATCACATTGTGGTCTTCCTGGTCACATTTTCTTTCGCTCCACAAAACTGCCTTTTTTTTTCTCTATCTACATGAGAAAAAAAATTTATAAGGTGTATGTCTGTAAATTACTGAAATATTTCCATATTTTTCAAGTGCTGTTCATTTAATGTGTTCTTTAACACTTAAACTTAGGGAAAAGTGATTTTATTTTGACACAAGGTCAATCAATTTTTCTGTCAAACCTGAAATTTACCCTGGATTTTTTAAAATTGTGCATAAATTTTATATATGATGTGAGAAAAACTTACACAAAATTATAAAAGATATGTCTCAGCTAGACTAATCTTACATGTGAATCTAGGTATATGACCTGTCTGGTGTCAATTTGACACAACAATAATTCTATCTCTTTACTTTCAAGTTTTGTCCTATTGTCCTTTCTATTATACTTAGAGAACATACAAGGTTTTAAACTCATTACATGTGTGCAGTTTTTGTAGTAATTTTCCAAAAAATACAACTCAGTTAGTTGTTCAAGATGAATGTTGAAAAAGTAATAAGCAAGATTTTACGTTAGGCTGAATGTTAATGCTGAATAGTTATCCATTGAATGCATATCTTCTGAATAACCCAAACTTGCAATAATAACAAATGATTTTTTTTTTTTAATAAACTGGGTGAAATTGTAATAGTTTGCTACCACTTTCTAAACTTTTACATGGTCATAGAAATCGAATATAAACATTTTATATTTTCAAAACATGCCCACTTTCAAATTTACGTGACTCTCAAACAATTAGGTTAAACATGATTCTTAATTGAGTTGTTACCAAATGGCAAGGCAAAACAACAAAAACACTCCAATTTAAGTCAAAGTTGAAATACAAGTATTGCCTATTTGTTTTTACTTTTCTACTATAAATGGCTACAATATTCTCAACTGTACAACAAGAGAAGACTATATGGTCATACACTAATAACACCTAAACATTTATCATTGTGGTTTGAACCTTACATATTTTTGAACTCGATCTATAGACATGTTAATGCTTCAGCTAATAACACCTGCCCTTAATGTCCTTGGCGCATCAGTGAAAGGCCATTCAGTTTCGGTAAATTTCATGTGATTCTTGTTACAGTTACTACTTCATTGTATCTTTGAGCTCATGGCCTTCTAAACTCACTGTTAAAGATGTTAGTTGTGATTTCAGCAATATTTTTTTCTTTATTGCTTTCATATGGGGAAAAAAGGAAGTTCATCAAAAAATTAGTTTAACATTGTATGTTAAAAGACACATTAAATTTATAAGCATTAAATTGTAACCATTTATTGGTTTGTTTCTAGTATTTTTAATTCAACTTTTCACTAACAATGTGCACACTTTTGTAACTATTTTTGTTTTAAAAAAATAGTTCAGAAAATTCGAAGAAAAAGCATTAATCTACTTTGTCATAAAAATTCATTTTCAATAGATAGTTTAGAGTTTGAGTTTCATTGTCAGTAGATGATTTCTCATTGAATCTTTTTGCCATTTTCTTCTCTGCATAACTGAAATGTATTTCATTTTTTAACCAACTTTCTTCACAACAATATGTTTGTCCTAATACTTGACCCAAAAAAATATCTAGTTCTCCAATTTTAGTTTGAAATTACAAAGATTAAAATCTTAATATTTTAATGCTTTAAAAACATTCTGCAAATTAACGGCTGATCTTGTAGTAATGATATTGAAGGATTTTCTTAATTTTAGAAATTTTTTATACTTATGTATTTTTTAGATATTTTTAAGTATGAACAGTAAGCTTTTACTATTAAAATGCATAATTTGTTAAATTCAATTTTTTTAATTATATTAGAGTAAAATTTAGACATTCTAAATCTTAATATTTTTGAAAATCACGCTTCTCTTTTCCACATATTTATTTATTTACATTAATTGTGTGACAAAAGTTTCATCAACACAATCTTACAGAATTTTACGGAAGAAAAAAAAAAGAAAGAAAGAAAATTTGGGTTTTTACTGTTTGAGTAATATATATTCTGTTAAGACCAGCTTTTATAAGAAATAAGAGATTTATAATAAAATATGACTTAATCTTTCACTTAAAAAAAAATTCAACAAAAAACATAGTTTTGCCTATTTTAGTCATACTAATTTAGTTATTACATTGACTGAAAAAAAAAGCCCTTGAGCATGAAATGATGCTCTAATCTTTAGAAAGTTATGATGTGATTCAAAAATCCTTTGCTTTGGTTTAATATTAATGTTGTAAAAAAAACTGTTTATTCCTAAACCGTGATTATGTAGGCCTTTCTTTAAATGTTGTTAAATTTGTAATATTCTAGAAAATGTCCTTTATGCAGGGTCAAGGATCCTTAAGTCAAACCCTTGGTCCAATGTCAGTAACATTAAATAGCAGTTATCCCAGTGCTGAAAGTCTAATGGGATCATCTCAAATTCCTCCACATAGTAACATTAGTCCCAGGCCTGGATCTTCTGGTAAGTTCGATAATTGTTTTTTATATTTCTTTTACTGTCAGTTATTTTTGGTGTATCTTTTAAAACTTTATTTGATTGTAATAAATTATTCAAAATTAGCTCCATTCTAAAATTGTTTTTTGGTATCAAATAATTTTGGCTTACTTCCCTCTGATTAAAAATGTTATATTTCTTACATATTTTACCTCTTCAAGGACACTGGTTTCACACTTATTTTTAAAAGATTATGAAACTTGTAAAGTAAATTACTTTTTATTACTAAATATGCACATTTTCTGTCCATCACTTTTGTTTTAAATATATTGAGATAAGATCTTTTTATTTAAAATACACTGATATTGGCTAAGTATTATGTCTCTTTTTAATTAAAGACTTCAAAAGGGTTAAACTCATTAAAATGTATGCTTAATTTTTAAATTGTTGAGCTTAATTTTTTTAACTTTCTATGACATTTTTAAACAAATCTAAAAATTTTAGACGTGTACGCTTCAAAGAATTTGACTAATAGTTAAAAACCTGATAAATTTAGCACTTGTGCCAATTGTTATTTATAATCCACCTTTTATCTAGACAATCGATCAGCATGAAATCAGCTTATCTTTATCAGCAATCAGCTTATTTTTATTTGGAAATTATTTTTGTTTTATAAAGTAAATACTGAATCTTAAAACTAAGGAATGCACTTGAAAGCACATTTGTAAAGATGTTTTAAATTATCAGCATAAAATGATATTTTTTAATTATTTTAATTGGTTCAAATTAAATATTATTTTAAATTATAATTCTAGAATGTTTAAAGTCATCCAAGTGAAACGCTATTTTAAATAATCAATATAAAATGTTAACCTGTGTGGAATATTATTTTTTAAATATCTTTATAAAACATTAATTTCCAGGTCTTCTTGATATTAATGGTGTGACAGGCAATGGCTATCATCGATCAATATCACCCTCTATGCCAGGAAACAGTTCACCAATAATGATGAATAAAGTGAATAAACAACATTCACCAACAGGAAATCGGTCATCTAATCTTCGGGTTGTTATACCAAATTCTCATGCAAATTCATCGATGGTAACTAAGTTCTCAATAGCTTTTCAGAAATTAATACATATATATATATATATATATATATATATATATATATTTTAAAAATTTAAATGCAGAATTTATTTTTTTATGGATTAATATTATATTTTTCTATGCCATTTGGTAGAATTAGAAAAATATGTAAATTAAGTTTTTCTCATTAACAGTAAAACCAGAAATTTCATACCTATCATTGAAATGTGAAAAAAAAAATCACTAAAATTTAAATATATATTTTATTTTATTTTAGCAAAATGTGAGGTCAGTCTCTAATTCTATTGGAAATCAAGTGGGAAATGTTAATTCTAGTTCTATACCTAGTATGGCTTATCCGTCCAATCTTTCATCATCTTTTCCTCAAAGTAAGTCTGTAAACAATAATGACATGTTTAGAAAATCAAGTGTTATCAATTTATTAATACCACTGATTATTTGGAGATGTTATGTATTACAATAATTTATTAATAGCTGCTAAGAAACTTTATAATTCTTAATTATTAGTATTGAACACTTTATCACTAGCAGACCTTGGAAGATTTATTTTAATGAATTATTTCCTGAGAATAATTCATCAAAAGTAATTCATGATGATAATTTTGTTTAATATTTTAAAAATAACTTTATTTTGTTTGTTTTTATTCAATGTTTAATTTCAACTTATTATGATCAACTGAACATAATATACTTAAATTTTATCTTATGAATCAATAATTTATTTTTATTATTTTTTTTTATGTTGGAACTTGCAGTTTATCATCAAACTGTAAAGAAAAATTACTATCTCACTTATTGCAAGCCATACATAATGATATTATATATAATATATTTGGAGATGATATGTATTACAATAATTGTTTTAAATCTTCTTAGGAAATATTTTATTGAAACTGCCAGAAGAAAATATCTTAGTATTTCCAGAATTTTTATAATGGTCTAAAACCCACTTCTGTTCAATTATTCAAAAATTGTATGTATATAGGCAAGGAAAAGTAACATAGTGATGTCCTTATACCTTGATAAAGAACAGTGATTACAAATATGAAAATGAAACTTTCTTAGTTTTTACTTTTATCTCGTAAAGAACACATAAATAAGATTTGAGACTTTTATCATGTTAAAAATTTGTTATTTAGCATTACTGTCGATTTTAGCCAATTTCCCTCCGTTTACTCAAATAATTACAAAATATTGAAATGAAACTTTTTTAGTTTTTCTATTTTATTTATCTCATGAAGAGCCGATGGTCAAAAATTTTAGCTTTCTTACTTAATGGGAAGTGAAAAATTTAGTGATGAGTGAGTGAGGTCTTTTCTTTTTGAGTACACCGATTTACAGAATATCATTTAAAATTGATATTGTATCTTTTAAGTTTACTATTATTATATATATATGTGTGTGTGTGTGTGTGTGTATAAANACCTCTTGGCAATGGCTTTATAAATATATATGGTTAAAAATATAAAGAAAACATGGAAAATAATGTAATTAATGAAAAAATACACACAGACACACATATATATATATAATAAATATTATTCATAGTTTGTTTCTATTTATTATGCATTATTCAAATGTTTTACTATTCTTATTTACATTCTTATAAATATGCGTGTTTTAAATTCGAAAGAAATGTTTCCCTTATATTTAAATGAGTTGATGTTGCATACAATTAATTATATGTTGCATGAAATTTCTTTAAATATTTGTATTTAAAATTAGAAAGTACAAAAGTTGATTTTTTTTAATTGACTAATGAATTTATGTAAAAAAAAAAATATTAAAAAAAAACTATAGTATTCAATCAGCCAAGCTTAATTCACTGTATATGGTTTCTGTACAGTATATTATTGAAAAATTTGTGACAAACCTTCATAACTAAATATCTAAAAGAGGAAACGTCTGATAAGCAATAAGAATGTTATTTTTTATTAATGTATATCCATCCATTTTGTTAATGTATATATTTATTGTTACATTTTGTTTTATAGGAAAAACTTAATTAAAAAAAAGTATATCTTTTTCCATAATACCAAAAATAATTATCTTAAGTTTATTGTTCAGTTTAAATTTGAATTTTTATTGTTGATAATGATTAGTGTTTTATTTTTTGTTATTTGTGTTATATGCAATCTATGCTCATTAATTTTCTTTTTTAGATGACTTTCAGCTTGGTTCAGATTTGGGTTTATCAGGGTTCAATTCTCCCAGTTTATTGCAAAACTGGTCTCAAGGACCATTGTCCAATGTTCAAGGACTCACCCATTCAAGGTAAATATACCTCTGTTCTTAAGTTACGGCTTTTGAGACTTACCTACAATATTCAATTTTCGCTTATCCTGAGCCGCTCGTATTTACACATACAAGAACAATTATTCTCACTTCGGAAAGCTTCCCATTCGTGCATTTTTCTTCTTTAAATTTTCATGTCTGATTAGGAGTCATTTTGTAAAACAGTCCAGTTTAGGACACACAAAGCCTTTTTTTTATTATTCTTTCATCAAACTCATTGGCTTTAACTTGAACCAAGGGTCCGGCCACAGGAAGATTTTTACTCTGTTAAATCGTGAACCATATTAGCAGGGCTTCTTTCCTGTTTTCTTTCAACCTGATATTGTATCTTTAAAGAGTCAATATTTTTTTGTTAAGAGTTGCATTGCGATTTTTCCAAATTTTTGAATCTTTAGACTTTGAGAAGGAAATTTCTTAAACAGTGCAGGTTGACTAATTCCGTCTGCAATACGTTTGACAAATTTCACCTTATCCTCTTTCGAAAATACTTTCCTTTTTACAGAATTCACCATTTTCACTGCTCTAATTTAAAGTGATAAGCATAAAGACTAAAATTTGACTCAATGTATAGATTAGTTGTTATTTGCAGTCACAATTCGTGTAAGTTTAAACCTGGAGATCTGAAAAAAAGTCTATGTGAAACTGAAATTTGACTCCACTATAAACTATCAATTTCTTAGCTATTACTTGAATTAAATATAGTTTGGACAGGACCACTTGAAAAGTTCTCCATAACTGAGTATTCACTATATACCTAGTTCATTAGATTGAGATTCGACTGTAACACCAATTTAAGCAGAGTGTGTTGCTTCTTCTATAGTGCCTGTCGCATTCGTTTTTAAAAGTGGATTTGGTCTAGTATTGTTGTTACTCTTTTATATAATCTTCCTGTTATCAAAAGTTAGGATTAAGAATATATTTTTTGCATAATGGTAAATTTGAAACTCATGTAAATATACTATATATTCAGTCAACTCTTAATTTGAACTCAGAGGCATGCAAGAATTTAAAATTAATTGAAATTTCAAATTAGCATTATCTCTTGTGCTATTGTTTCTAGATTCAATAAAATCTTTAACTATGTAATCTCTTCTTCTTCAGTTTATTGGGCCAGCTACTGCATTACAGAGTGTCATCTTTCATAGCTTAAGCTATTTTTCGATTTTCTGTAACAAAGACTGGGTGTTTTATATTATACTTTCACTATTCATGTCATAATAGTTAAAAATCCTATACTTTATAATGTCCTCAATAGTTTCAGAACTAGATTAATTCAGCATACATCTATTTTTAAATTAAAAAATAAACAAAGAAAGTGATGTAGAAATAATTTCTCCACTAAAAACTAAGCAATGTGATTTGTAAATACTAGAAGTGTAATCATAAACATTTTATTTTTTTAAATGATCAAGAAGAAAATAAATATTATTGACTTTGAAATTCTAATACAAATTTTAAATGCCGCTTGTAGACCAATATTTTTTCACCAAATTTTCGTATTTTTTAATGGTGGAGCTTTGAATGTTGAATATTATTATATAAAATGTTATATCTTTGTTCAAAAATACTTTATTAAATATTGTAACCTTCCCATGTATATCTCTTATCAGCCTATTTAAACTCTTACTTTTTTTGCAGTCCAAGCTCTACCATCAGTAGTTTACCTCATCTCTCTGTTAGTAGTGCAACTCCACCTCCATCATCATCTCCCTTACCAATCAAAATAAAAAGTGAACCAATTTCTCCACCACGTGATAATTCTCTTAATCTTCATCGACCTTCTTCTGATCAAGGTCATTTATCTCCTGGTCATTCACTTGCCCCATCTACATCCTCCTCTCCAGACCCAAACATGGACTATGATCCTCATATCAGCAAAAGGCCACGTCTTACTGCAGATGGCTGGGCCACGTAGTAAAATGTATTCTTTGTGAAATAGTATTCACAGAATTTTTATGGTGATTTACTGAAGGCATTAATGCCCAAATGTGGGTGTCATCATTTTTTACTGTTATTGCATTAATACCTGAACTCCCACTGGTGCATTTAAATAAATTTTTAAGAGATTAGGATAAAAATCTCATTATATTCACTGAAGAAAGACACAGTGAATGAAAGATTGTGACTTTGTTATAAAATATTTACAAGTGCACACATTTTCATTGCATTCTGGTACTGTTGTGGACAAACTCTAAGAACTAAAAGAATTTGATCATATTTGTGTTGGACAAGCAGTTCCTTTATTCTTCATTAATTAAAGTTTTGAAGAAATGGACACTATTGACTGTCTGCCCAACTTTGTAATTCTTATATTATAAATGTAAAATTCATTGTTTATTATTTCATAGTGATATTGCCATCAACATAGAGTAATTTTTATATCATTATTCAACTGTGTGAAGTGATCTTAAAGTTTGTTGTTGGCAACCAAATCTTTTTTATACTATTAGTTTGCACAAACTGATAATTGTTTTGTTAGACAAAAGATATTAGGAGAAATCTATTTTCTGTAGCAACATTCCTTGTAGTTGCCCCAGATTGGAAGTGTGTAAAGAAATAACTTAATCAGGGGAAGTACTCAAAAAACAGTTTCATGTGCATAAATTTGTATCGATTACTTCTGTTAATTAGTACTTAAAACATTTTATTATAATGTTGTAGTTTCAACTCTGATATAGTTTTCTCATAGTAAAACACATTTAACAATGTTAAAAACTCTCAATATTTTTTAAAACAAAATTTTTTTTATTTAATTAAAAGTTTTATAAGCTGATGTGCTGTTTGACTGTATAGTATGTTCCATTAGGATATTTGTCACATAGCATGCTTCTTGTCAGATGTCTTGTAAAAACAGAACATATTGTATCTTCCATATGTGGGTTGTTGCTTAATATGTGGTTCATAGATAAATTATGTATCTGATTTAACCTAAGCAAAGAGTTGAAGCTATTATTTAATTTGTACATTAAAGAGATTTGTATAATTAAGTGTTGTTTTTGTGTAACCACTTCTAGTAGTTAATGAATCTGACTTTTATTGATTGCTTTTATTTTCTTGATAATTTTATTAAACCAAAATCTAGTTCATTTAAATTTAGAAAATAGAAATCTTAAGGCATTTATTAAAAAAGTGGCTTTAGTGAGAGTTATAGATCAGTTTATATAGAACGTATAGTTTTATTATGCATTGCATATGCAAATTCAGATCTGAAGACGGTCCAAGTTTTTTGCTATAGATTTGACAATCATGAATGTTTGCTGCTGTGTCTGAAATTGCCTTCTTTGCCTATCACTGAATTTTCAGTGTTTAAGTATTAAAACACTAAAACTTTCATACATGTGAGAAAAGTCTGATCAGTGCCTAAGTTTTTGCACAAATAGTTAACACATAAAATTTTATTTAAGATGATTTGTAATTGACATTTACGAATATAGTCTTTGATAGGTGGCTGCCTTTCTTTACATTAGAACAAATTATATGTACTTCCCCCAAAAAGTAGTCTAAATATAAAAATACCTATTTGTTTTTACCAAATTTTTTTTCTATTACCAAATCCACTGAAGCTTTAAAAAAGAACTGTGCATTGACTTCCGATTCAAAAAAAAAAAAAGATTATGCTGTTAATATACTATAGTAAACAGAACTATCTGGTATTTGCAAAATAAATCCTATAATAATAACACTTGGTTAAAATATTAAGTCATTGTACTCTAATTCTCTATTAATTAATTTTGTCAAAGTATTATAACTATGACCCTATTTAACGGATTTTATTTTACTTTCAGAATAGTTTAATCAAAATAGTTATAGCTATTGATGTTTATAGCAGTTGCTTGCATATAAAACTCAAACTTTTTTTTAAAATTTACTTATTTGTTTATTATTTTTTTTTATGTTTCTGTTGAATAACAAAGAGCACGATTTCTAACTCTGTTCTAACTTGTTTTAATAAGTTGTGAACATTTTTACTTTCAAAATTCATTCCTTTTATTTGATTTTAATTAGTTTTCTGCTTTCAATGTTATGTAAAATATCCCCAGTATAGCCACCTATCAATATAAAAATAGTAGATCAAACTGTGCTATAATTAATACTATTTTTAAATCATATCATCCTAATATGACAGCTTTATTTTCCCATATTCCTATATATTTATTCATGAGGCATATTATAAGTATATTCAATATTGAAATTAGTCTATAGAATATATCTCTGAAGGTAGGAGCTACTTTTTTAGCACTTTAACCAATATGAATGAATTCACATACCTATAACCAATTTTATTAAACTTTGATGCATACTTTTTTACTAAATCAGATTATACATTTTATAAATGAGCAAAGTAGTTTTCAGAAACAATAGAAGTGCTCATTTTACAACACATCAAACACAGCAGTGAGAACGGTATATTTTAAGAAAGATATTTTGATAGTTTTATCTAATGTTTGAATCATTTGACTTCAGCTAGCTAATATATAAACTAAGAGAATATTAAAAACCCATTTTGAGAGACTAACATATTTTTCCACATAAAAATATTTAAAATTTTGTATTCATATTCTTAATATTTTTTCATGTCATACTATTATTTCATGATCTAATTTTTTCCCTACCTAACAAGTTTAATGTGATATAATGTAATGTTACAATATTATGTCGTTGCTTCTTTTTTATTTTATTATTCTGCTGTATATCATGCAGAAATAATTAACAGAGGTTGCATGTTTCTGCTGATTAAATTTTTTTGTTTCATTATCTATAAGTAAAAAAAAATTATGCATTTAAAAAAAATTCTAATTTTGGTAATATCTACAGTCAATGATGCTAATTGATGAAATATAATTTAGTGTATAAGATTTTTAAAAAATTCCCTTTATATTCACTAATTAATAAACTTAATAGTTTCTTTATAACTAATCACTGAGCTTAATGCATATAAATTGTTATTATTTAATCTGCTGCAAGATTTAAAGCAAAAATTTAAATAAATTTTAGTAATTTTTCAAATTTAAACAAACCTAAATTATCTAAAATGTTTTTACGTGTTTATATGTTTAATATTTAGCTAGCTCTATTTATTTTTGAAGCAGTTTCAAACATTGCAACCTAAGTTTTATAAACTAGATTGTTGTAATAGATAGTAAGTTGCTTGCAAAATGACTAGTCCTTTAAAAAATTTCCTTGTTCTGTTTAAATAATTTTACTGTGAAAGTAAATATGTTATAATGATTGTTTTTTTCAAATATATACGATATGTATATAATAAATGTGTACATTTGTAAGTAGCTATATATATGTGTATAATCATATATACTGATATAAAGTTCAGATACCCTAAATAGTTTATGATAATGTTTTCAAAACAAATTTGCGAAAAATGCAACAGCTGTTGAGAGTATCTTTTGATACTATATTTTCATTATGTTTATTACAGGGAGCATTTTTTGTTGATGATGACTGTTAATGTTTACAGAAGAAAAACTAATCTAAAGTTTGCATGTACTTTTTCCTGTTGTTTCAGAAATATGTTTTTAAATTTTATTTAAAATATAGTATTTAAATATGACTATGTAATATTTTTACAATATGCCAAAAATATTTTGTCTAACATGGTATTTATTTTTAATTAAATTTTATTCCCTTGGCAGACGATGAAATTTTGTTTTTTTACAAAGAAAGATTGCCCTTCTTCAAGTTTTTTTCAGAAATTATGTGTGATTTGTGAATATATTTTATAAGTGATCTACTTTATTTAGTCAAATTTATCAAAAATTATACAGTATAAATTTATTTAAATATAATATTTTGTCAGTATATTTATGAGAATGATTTGAGTTATATTTTTTTTTTATTCTGAGAATGAATGTTGTTACTGATTCTTTTTTATATTCTCTTGACTTCACTTTATTTACTTAAAAAATATCTCTTTTTAAATTTGTGAGTTAAAAATTTCTTACAAATATATATAATCCAAATTCATAACTTTTGTCTTTTTAATTGTATTGAAGTTTTCATTTGTATTTAAATTTTCATATTATTTCATCTGTATGCTGATAAATAAAGAAATGTGACAAATTTTTGCATCAGATAAAAGTATTATATTAAAATTATTTATGTTAGTTTAACTATGTTTAACATTTTTTTGTCTTTAGATTTTGCTTCTTTAAATTTTAAAGTTTTAAATGACTTAATTTTAAATAATGACATAAATATTCTTCCAATAGGATGTGTGCCATATCTGAATATAAAGTTAATGAGTATAATATTGAATTAATAGAGTGCAATATTTGTTTATGCATAACTTCTCTATGAGTGTCTCCTAATTCAGAATCTGTATATAAGACTTATAATATATTGCATGCTAGAGAGATAATATATGTGTCAAACATATGACATTTCTTTATTAATTATTTTGAAAAAGAATTATCTTATAAAGCCTTTTGTTTTAAATTAACTTTCCTAACTACTTAAAAATATTTTAATGAACATGTATATTTTGTTCAGTAATTTATAATATGGCTATTTTTGTTTAAATAATAATTTTCTTTATCTCTGAAGTTCAGAGATTGTATAGTTATGTACTGGCGTTGATGTATTATCTCATTAGGACAAATGTCTTTCTTGTTTTGTTCTGTCAAAAATAAATGGAAGTTTATGTGGCTAGAACACTTATTTTTCTTGAATTCGTTTTCTTTGTTTTTATTTATTTATTTTTTCATAAATTATAGAGGTTAGGGCAGCTATTGTGGACAATTTTGATAAATTTGTCTAAACAGTTCATTCAGTATCATTTTGAACATGTCTATACATTTTATTTTTAAATTTTAAATCTTAACTCCATTCACTAAACAAGTGATGTGCAACAATAAGCATAACATATTTCCTATAATAAAAAAAATAAATAATAATTTAATTTTCTCAATAAATTAATATCTTTTTATTCAGTAACATTGGCATGGAAGAGAAAATCATTCAATTTGAAGACACTACCTCAACTAGCATTTGCACAGAATATGAAAACTGATACATGGTTACTACATTACTTTAATTTTGTAAAAATGAATTGTTATATTTAATTCTTACCGCCAATACATATTAAATTTGAAAGTCAAGAAAGGGAGAATAAACATTAAACAAAGCCATGACAATAGTTTGTAACAATTCATAGCCAATGCTTTGATTCCTTAACCAAAAAAAGTTAATGTTTTACATGATTTTATAATTTTATGAAGGCAGGGAAGTGTCATGTGAGACTCAGACCATGCAGATACACTTTACACTTATTTAAAAATTTATTATTTTAAGTTTATCATAGTCAAAAATAGTTTTAAATATGTACATCAAAATGAAAAATCATTTCACTGCAACTTGAGCTTTAAATATGCAAAAGCAACATAAAGATATTAGGTTACTTTTGATTGATTATATTACAATCAATTGGATATTGGCAGATTATTGTTATTGATCATTTTGCCACATTATTAAATCCTTCATGATTTAAATAACATTTATTTTGTTCAAATAATATTATTTTTTTATGTTTATTTTGCTTCTTTGTGACAATGAAACATGGGCAATTGGAAAATTAACCCTCTTCAACGATTTCAAAACCTCATCAATATATTTCTTCAGTTCCATTTTCAACCAATAACAAATTCTTCTACAAATCTTCAGACTGCACCAATCTCCTTGACAGTATGCTAGTTTGCACATATACATTTTTAATGTCTTTTTTAACACTAAACATACCATAACCGGCCAAATGACCGTTTAAGAACTTTTGCATCGAAAATGCGCTTGTCATCTTATCGTTTTTGTACATTGGACTTCATAACTTTTTCTAACATTTATATAAAGTTAATATTCTATTATTATTTGTATTTTGTTTGTTTCAAATAATACTTGTCGTATACCTATTTCTACCACAACCGGTCATTTGACTGGGAGAACAATTTGTTACTTTAAAAGGTTATAGGATCAGAAATTACAATGTAATGCATGTTCCATGTATTGCATTCAATTAGTTGCACATTTTTGCAAAGACTATTGCGTAGTTAGTTCAACCAGAATAACTGAATTTAAATTTCAAGAAAGTACCTAAAATTTTAGATTGGCATTTTTGTGTAAAAAAAATTGACAAAAATTAAATGTTTTGGTTTATGTTGGTTAAATGTTTAGCTTTTATTTTATTTTGTTAGCTTTACTTCAATTCAAACTAACTGCCAGTTTTCACCCAGAAAAATGTCGAAATAATCAAGACAGCACAAGTTCTTAGAAGAAATAATAAGAATTATAGTTATAGAAATAATAATTAGAAGAAATATGTTTGCGGAAAATGTACAATGTAAACACCCTGTATATGTAAAAAATGTGTTGCTCAATGAATAAAAAAGTTTTATTCTTTGTATTTGTAATACATAAAAATTGGCTATATACAATTTTGTTGAATTATAATAAAGTTTTTTTTAGTTTATTTCCTTCCTAACATCCATATTTCATACATTCAATCAAGAAATAATAAGTCCAGTCATTTTACCGACTATGGTAGAAATAGGTATATATTAAGTGTTGGTATGTTTAGTGTTAAAAAAAAATCTTTGGCTTTGTTCACACTAGCCTTATAGCATGGAGCTAGTGCGATATTTTTTAAAATTTATTTATATTTTCCTCCCCAACTGTTATAAAACCTCTAAAACGTATTTCTAACTTTGTCCTTTTTTTATTGAATTTGATTAAACTTTATTTATTATTTTATTATACAGTGACATTTCCAAACAAGAATATCAACACTTTTTCAATGTTAAGGTGATAGTTGAATTTTTATTTTTTTAGAAATTAGAGAAAAACGTCCAGGTTGATGGAATTCCATGTACTGACATTGTCAGCATCATAATCAATACAGTGAACACACACAATCATTCACTATTCCCATAGGTACTTGACTTTGTCTATTTTTTTATTGCTATTCAGATATTCTTAGATAGATGTTATCATGAATATTTTAATATTTTTTTTAAATATAATTTCCATTCAATTCCTATTTATCCTGACATATCATATTTAAGCTTTTTTTTAAAAACTACTTTGGTGCAATTTATTAAAAAAAAAGTCTAAGAAATAAGAGCTTTTAAAATCAAAATTTTTTAAATTTGAATTATTTAAAAAAATTAAATATATTTGTGTTTACAGTTTAATTTAAATACTTAAGTATTAATTTAAATCAAATGAAGAATTATATTTTATTGTTCATTTTAATTTTATTTTATTGTTCTTACTTTTACTATTATAAAACACTTTAAAAATATATAGTTATAATGAAGCTTATAAAAAAGTTAAGACACCTATCTGATTTTTTTTTTTTTTTTTTAGATTTTCCTTTTGCAAAATAGTTAAATTATCAGAAATATGTCTCGTTAAATGTCAGTATCACCAGGTGAATTAAACCCTCTACAAAAGGATCTAGAAAGTTCTATTGCTTAAAGTGGATGAAATTTGTTCTAGAATTTATTCAAATGATGCACTTAACGTTTATCAACTCAAAAAAATATTGCAAAAAACCGCCTGTAGAAATATCTAAGCTAATGTAACTTCACTTACCTGTCCTCTGGATATTCATCAAAAATCAATCAATTAGATAGCAACTAATAGGAATATGTTTCTATTGAGATGGGAAAACGTTTTTTTTTTTTCATATTACAGAGTGACTTTTAAATATAACGCTGAACTTCCTTGGTTTCAGTCTCAAAGAAAAAATTTCAGACCTGGCAATGTGTTTTTCAGAGTTTATCCAGAAAAGTTTTATTTTCCAAAACCATTTATTCTGAAATGCATGGGATAAACTAAATATGTTAGCTGTAAGCATAGAAGAAATGCAGTGGCAGAGAGAATTTTGATGCCATGGTTGGTGGTTGGCAATTGTCTATACTTCACATTTTTTTCAGTTTATACTTCACATTTTTTTCAAATGTCTTTCTAAGAAGCTAAAATCACTAATTTTGATTCCATAATGTGCAGATTAATTTTAATGCAAAATTAAATAGCATTTTTTTTTTCTGTTATCGATGTATTTTGTACTGTATGGTGCAATTTACCACACACTGTAAGCTTAAAAGTTACTTCTGTAATAAAGAAAAAAAATTTATCGCAGTCACAGCTATTTCAAAAAATTTCCACGCTACTAACTCCTAGAACGCAAAAATTACTCGATAGTAAAAATTTGAAATTTCATGTACGTTTCACAAAATGTTTAAGGAACATTTTGATCTGAAAATGTTATTTTTGTATGCATCGACTGGTTTTTGAATCGTTTTAATGTTAAATTCAATATTCCCTTCTGTACCGCGTAATAGTTCAGTTTTGCAAGTAAAGTTATTAGTATTGCAACCACGTAAAATATCTAATGATATTGTGTCCAGTTTTGTACAAACTTCGAAATGGTTATGCCCATTAAAATGTAAATTTTTTTTTTTTAATTGTTTCATAGTGTAATTTTATGGACAAAAAAAGGATTATTTCAATCAGGGGATTCTATGTTAATATATATTGTAAATAAATGGAGACTTAAAATTTCTCTCTATGATTTCTTAAAATGCTAATTTCTCCATACTCGCTCTTTATCTCCATTTGAGATGAAGAGTGAGTCCATCGGCTTACAATATAAAATTCAAACAATATAGCTGAAATTTTTAATAATTTTTCAATATACAAATTTTAAATTTGCGTTCGAGAAGCGAATATTAACTAACTTACATTTGAAAAAAAACTTGCCACATATGGCTGCTGTTTGTCTGCCTATGTCTTCTTTTCTCTGCAGAGAGGAAAGTAGACTCTCCACCAAGATTTCTGTTTCACTCTGCAGAAGCTTTTTACCTATTGGCATGAGCCTGCAACTAATTAATTATTGTTTAACACATATCATCACGAAACATTCTTTCTTCTACGATTTAAATTTGCTTTTATAATTATGAAATTTAAGTCACAAAAAATAGACACAAAAAGTTAAGGAGGTGAGAAACGAAATTTCGAAAAATACGAGTTTTTTATTTCTCAGGAACTATTGGACCGATTTTGCTAACATTTTATTTTTTGACATTTAAAATTGCATTCTTTCAAATGATCAATTTTTCATCGATGAAAAAATTGTATACCTTACAATTCTAAAGTTTTTCCACTGTCATTAAATAAAATAGTAAATAAATATTTACTAAAAGTTATATTATTTTGTATGAAATTATCTTTAGAAAAACGAATTTTATAATTGTAAGCAAACTTTTTTCAATTCTCTTTTGGGATATAGGGAAATACGCAAAAAATAATTTAAGATTAAAGGGCCAAACTTTAAAGCGTGCTCCTGACCAAACTATTAAAACAATATTTCCATCCATCGAAAAAAGGTATGCTTAATCAGAGAAAGTACGTTTTTGTGTCTAATTTCCTAACTTAAAATATCATTTGCTATGTTTTATGGTGGTCGTGTGAGTGTCATAGATCTCATGCAACATCCACAGTGTGTCTTATCCACACTAAACCTACCACGGACGTGTATAAGATATCTGTACCTCAACCAAGATAGATAATCTGTAAACGAGCTTTAGAAAGACGTCTAGTATTCATCCATGCGTGGTCTACGACCTCTAATGGACTCTGGAAAAAATCTAGACGTCTAATGGACGAATTGTGCTGTATGGGAAATACATTAAAGAAGTTAAATCATTAAAAAAATAACTAAAAAATATTTATCTATTCGAAAAAATTAGTAAAAAATGCAACAGACGAGAAAGAGGGAGACAAACAAACGAAACTTGGGATATATGCTCAGAAATAGGTGAGAAAAAAAACATTTATCCCCTTATCTTAAGTAAGGTCAGACCTCCCATAGTGATTAATCCAATAAAACATATCCCTCTGTAACTTATCCTCTGTGAAGGGCTGGCTCCTCAACGACCTGTGCTCAAAATCGAGCACTTTGCTGTAGAGCTGTTTTACCAGGACCGATACCGCACACATTTGGTCCCTTAGCAGGTTGTTCAAAGTGCTCAGCAGTTGTTCAAAGTGTTACCCTTAGCAGGTCACCAGTGTTGCTAAATCTTTATTTGCAATAAAATGAATACGTTTTATTTACTTTTTCTCTCGAAAATAAATGACGCATGATTTAGCGTAGCTCTCAATGACGTTTATTACAAAACCGCGTCTTCAATAAATTAAGGTCCCGCAGTGGACTGATCGTTAGGACACGGTTCCCAGAAGATCACCGAAGTCAAGCATCACTGGCTACGGTCAGTGTGCGGGTGGGTGACCACTTGGATCAGTCTGCGTAGGGACCGAGGGTGTGCGAAATTGGTCCTCGTTAAACTGTGCTACCGTAGAGTGCTCGACTTCGCGCGCAGGCCGTCGGGCTACGGAAGCGGGGGTGCCATCCTCTCCGCAGAGGATCAAAATTGTGATGGCATGTCTTCGGATCATCCTCCGAGATGTTTCCCAGACCGTCGCCAATAGTCCTTTGTGCAGCTCTAGTGCGACGTAAATTAACAACAACAATAAGTTAAGTAAAGGAGCATTCTCCTCGAATGTGATTACCGCGCCTCAGATCATCGCCGAGAAAAAAAAAGGAACATGTTTGGTGAGCTTTTTGTAATAGAATATATTTCATAAATCAGGATCCCGCAGTGGACTGATCGTTAAGACACGGTTCCCAGCAGATCACCGAAGTCAATCATCACTGGCTGAGGTCAGTGTGCGGGTGGGCGACCACTTGGATCAGTCTGCGTAGGGACCGAGGGTGTGCGGTATTGGTCCTCGTTAAACTGTTCTACCGTAAAGTGCTTGAATTCACGTGCAGGTCGTCAGGCTATCAAAGCGGGGGTGCCATCCTCTCTGCAGAGGATCAAAATTGTGATGGCATGTCTTCGGATCATCCTCAGGGATGTTTCCCAGACCGTCGCCAATAGCTCATTGTGCAGCTCTAGTGCGATGTAAATGAATTACAACAGCAACAACATCAATCAGGTTCTCATAATTTCTCGACGGTGATCGGAAGTGCGGCAACCACATTCATGAAAATCTTTGAGGAACCATTCGTATTACGTGTGCGAATCTTTAGAAACCCTGATTGACGCATTGTCGGGCGATCGCACATGCGAATTTCATTCACCTAGATTGCCCCAAAACTTCCGAGAAGTTCGCTAACGCGCACCGAATGAATGAGAGCTCGATGCGTGAACTGAATGCAACAAGAATGGTCTCCTTATTTTTCACTTCATATTTTCTGGGTCTTCAATGAATTTCGTTACAAATTAATGGCAGCATAAAAATCGGCAGTTGATCTGTTGTTTTCTGCAATGTTACGTGTTTTATTTATGTGAGGTGGTATTGTTATAATTTGTAAATGATGGCTAAAGCTAACTTATTTATATATGTCATTTTATTTATTCACTTGTCATCTGCAATCGCATTTTATCTTCCTGGGTTAGCACCTGTAAATTATTGTGAGGAAGGAAAAGCTACTGCTAGTTGTCAAGTATGATCAGTTTACCATTATAGAGAAATTCTTATTAATCTAATTTGTATTTAAAGTTGAATATTATCATTGTATTTTAAAGCTTTTCTTCTTCTTGATTGGATCACCGTTTCTTAAATTTAATTGATCATTTTGAGCGTAGGATATGTATAGGTATTATTTGTATTAACATATCGAGTTAGTCCACTTATAGACGGCTTATACATTTTTTAAAACTGCGGAATTTTATAAAAAAAGGAAATTTATGCAAATTAAACTAATCTGAACAATAGTATTAATAATTGTTAATTTTGTAGTTAATCAATAGATCCGCAAGGAATTTACAATCGCGTTAAAAAATAATTTTATGTGGCATCATTAAAAATGAATCGCTATTACCATTACATTGTGGGCTATTTAGTTGATTGTTGCTCAAACATTTTCGACTAGCAGGCTGCAAAAATAAAAATAGAATATTGAGAGCGAACATTAATATGAGGCTGTAGTCATAAAGGAAAGGTGTATTTAGATTCTGTAGAATGGTTGGATAGATTTCAAATTGAAGGCTAGTTTTCTGAACTTTTGTGCAAATAATAAGAATGATAGTTAAATAGTATTTGACGTGAATAAATATTATTTTAAAAATGCACTTAAATGCAACGACGAGATTAGTAGATGCAGATTCAAAATTACAAGAGCAAATTATAACAAAGAATTTACAGGTATACATTTAGGAAAAACGTCCAAATCAAACATTTTAATTTGGCTGCCTTATGAAGTTAATTTTACATCAACTTTATTATTTAGTATTAGCAGGGTATCTTGCGCTCCTGGAAAGTCATGAAAAATCATGGAAGGTCATGAATTTCGGTATTGAACAAAATTTGACATGAAATATCATCATTTGAACCAGTTTATTTAAAAAAATCATGGAATGTCATGGATTTGAGTCGCCGAAAAATCTTAATTTTTAAATTTTTTTAATGGTGTTCCGAATTTATGGTTTCCGAGTGGTGAACCCCTCCAATTTAATGGTGTTCCGCATATCTGAATTTGTGAAAAAATCCCCACCACACAAGTCATATTTTACAAAAATATAAAATATTTTTACCATGTTCTTAAAATATTATGGTGTTCTTTTTGAAACGAAGGCAAAGAACATTTCTAAAAAATCAAGAAATAAAACATCATTTCTAGTGCAAATTATCTTTTAAACTTCTGTGATTTCAAAACTTTTATTATAATTTATTTTTTTTATTTTGTCAATTTAAAATTCTAGCTGAAGCTAGGCAATCATTGGCGAATTTTTTTTAATTCCGAAATGAAAACAGAAAAATCATGAGTATTTCTTTCCTTTCCAATGAACAAGAAAAATATTTTTTAGAATATAATTCTGCAGAAAAATAGAAAAAAGAAATTATTTGCTTTTGTATTTTGTTTCACTTATTTTATTGCTTCAACTCTTTCTTTACTTTGTTTTTTCAAGTTAAAATCTATAAATATGAAGATGCAGAGTATAATAGTTTTGGTTATACCTATCATTTCAATTAACATTATTATAATGCTTTTTTAATTTATTGTTCTGTTTTTGTTGGGAGAAAATAGTAACTTCATGAAGTCATGAAAAGTTCTTGGAATTAGTCATGGAAAATCATGAAAAGTCATGAATTTGAAAATCTGAAATGTGGCAGATACCCTGTATCTGTTAATTGGGTTGGTTATGGAGTAGATTAGGATAAGATCCCCTCAAGGAAGGCTGTTCTATTATAGTTACTGTCACCAGATATAGATAAAAAAAGGAATTTTTCTGTTTAATAATTTTTCTGTTTTCTGTTAATCTTAACTCTTTCTAAGGTCGTGGTGAGCATACCACCTCTATAACTTTGTTATGCCATTTATTATTAATTTCAACTCTGATGAAGTAATAGGTATCCTTTCAAATAAAATTGGTTACAATATGCCTGTTTCTAAGGAATTTAAAATAAGTTATAGTATGTAATTCCGTTTTCAGTTTGGAGTAATTATAAAATTTATTTTACAAATGAAAAGAAATGAAAGTCATGAAGTTTCTTTTTTATAACACCTGTTTGGTAATAACTAACATACTTACCACAAAAAATATACAATTACAGTCAATTTTTTTAAAAAATTTTAATGCATTTAGAATCCCTCAAAACTGCCAGAAAACAGTTTATTACTTTCCTAAGAAGGCTATTTAGTTATTTTTAATCAAAAATAGCTTACTTTAGTTTTCACCTGAAACGGGGAGTCGTGATTATTCACGAACTGACGTCACATGTGTCCATCTTCCGTCCACTTACAATCACTGTGCCGTGAAGGCCAATACGTTCTTGCTTTCGTTTGAATTTTCGTAATTAAGTCCAACTATTTCAGATGGTCAATAGCAATCTGTATAAAAAATTGCACCCTAATATCGCTTAATAAAAATGTGGGTTTAATATAACATATTTTTATAATGTTAAATTTCAATGTTACTCACTGAAACATTGTTAATAGTTGACGAAATTTTCTAGCTCTGAATATTTAAGATTTTTTAGTTAAATAAAGAAAGTGTGTACTATTGCTAATTAAATGATGCATTATAAATACAAAATAACTTCGTTTTTTCCATTTTTTTTAACTCTATTAATCTTAATTTTAATGTATACTTCAAATTCATTTCGAAGATTTATTTTCATTTTGAGTAAAAGAAATGTTGGATCAATTATTTATGTAGAATAAATAGTTTTAGATTTTAAAATGTAGTGAAGCTTAAGTTATTGATAATTTTTATTTATTTATTCTAGCGTGAATTCAAAGCACATAATTGTCTTTAGCATAGCAGTAGCCTTTTAAAAAACTTGTGATCCCAGCAAAACTTAAAATTCATTCTTTCAGCAAAAAAAATTTAAAGTTGAAAGAAAAAAATTTAAATATTCTAATAGATTTTATTAACTTCATTTTAATTGCCCTAATCTGTGTTATAAGAGTATTTGAAATCAAGCATATGAATTTACTTAGTTCTTTATTACAGAAACAGGAATAAAATTTTATAAATGCATATAAGCAAAGTACCTATTTACTCAAAGATTAAAAATATTGAGACAAAATATCAACATTACTGTTTATTTTTTAAGTATTTAATAAATTATAAAGAATGTGCATTAGAATTTCTTTCCATTTTATATAACTTAATTTTTCATTATTGTTCTTTAGCTTTAGTGAAATAGAAATTTCTAGTTTAATGATATTCGCTGAAATTTTGTGGATAAATGAGTTAATTAGATGTGGATAAATGGGAAATTAAGTGAAATTTTAAGTATAACTAGATTATGGTGATGATGATGATCAGAAGATATACTTCAATGGATTCTTGAAAGTGTTGATACGTTTTCGACTATACCGAATCCTTAACCTGAAATTTTTTTCAACTATTTTAATTAAATTTTTTTAATTAAAAATGTATAGTGTATTAATTTTACTATTTTAGAATTCTTCATTGCAAGCACTGACTAATAGCTTGCAAAAATAAGGAGAGAAATGAACAATAACCATACTTTGTTAGTACTTCATTGCAGAAAAAGGAATTAAAATTTATAAATTTAAAAATAAAAATAATTTCTAACTGTAACGAAATTCCTATTAACGCAAAGAATAATAAATATAAGCATTAATGTGAATTTAAATATTTAATACGTAGTAAAAAAAAGTTGACATAAACTTCATTTGTAAATATTTACTTAAAAAGAAAATCCTTCAACTCTAGTGATAAATAAATAAAAGAAGCAACATTAAATTACATTATTTGAATTCTTGAACATTAGCTCATAGATTGTAACGTTGATGGACTGATATTTTTCAATGAACTAGATTTATGAAAATACTGATTTGTTTTAATGCAATAACGAATAATAATATCATCCATCCGATATTTAAATGTATACTATTTCTATCCAATCTGCGACTTATTTTAATTAAGTAATTAGGCTGTTATGGAGCATTATTTTAATCTAAAAGTAAGTGGAATAAAATATTATTTTCTATGAACTTCAACAGCACTGATTTCAGCTGAAAAGAAATGTTGATTCGCTGTAAAGAGCTTCATAATCATTTCTTCAGATATTTTAGTAATAAATAACAACGTTTGAAGTTTTCAAATCTTTCTTTCACTTTGCACACACTCTCAAAGCTGTAAATTTAATTCACAAATTTTTGTTCTTATAATTTACAAGGAATGTTCGTTTGATATCAAAACTAAAAGAGCATTGAAATAGCCTTATCGGATGGAGACGGCAAGTTTCCATTCAGCAAATGCGATGTCATAACCAATCAATGATCGTTTTTGATTGCATCACTTACGGAGACCTTTTGGGGCAATTTAAATCTTAAAAAATTAAATAAATTAACATTTTCCGTAAAAAAAATCAGATTTTCGATTTCAGGTGAGAATTTCCAATAAGTTATATATGAAAATAAAATAGTTTATGATCTGCTGTAATTGCCCATTCTTGTTAAAATTCAAATTAATTTATCAACTAATCTAAATGAATTTTTTCATCTGAATTCAAAAAGTATTTTATTGTACCCTTACTAGAAATAAATGGCCTGTTAAAGGGTTATTTAGGTAAATACCAAACTATGTACATATGCAATGAAATCAATATATTAACAGAAATTTTCATCTCAATTAGGACTTATAGAGTTCTACAGTAAAGTGGTCGTAAATAGTTGTGCTCCAAAAGTAGCCAAAAGTAGCCAATAGTCGTAAATAGTTGTGCTCCAATGGAGAGCCTGAAATTATTCATTGGCCATACGTAACAATTTTGAGTGTTTCCTGCTTCACGACATTATTTAGACGAAATTTATTGCATAGAAAATAGTTTTTTAAATTTTTTAGGAAATTCAGATAAAAAAATTTTTGATTCTAAATATGAGTGAGATTTATTAGATATTAGAAATCTTCTTGAAATTAATTATTGATATTTTATGTTTAGCATTTTTACAATGTTGAAAAAAAAAATTATCAGCTACATAGATTGTACTTTCTTTATGCCAAATTATTTTGCGAAGTTGTATGATGTTTTCTTTATTTCATTTTTTCCATTTTGAGTTAGTAGCAAGGGGAAAAATTTGTTTAAATTGTAGAAAGAATATATTTTTTTTTCCTTTTCTCTTTTAGTAATATATTTGTTCTTTTTCCCATAATTTGTAAAATCAGCAATGTTAGATATGGAATCAAAACTTCTATTTCTAAATTCATATTTTGTTCTACTTTTGTGAAATTTATGTTAGTTATCTTTTATTTTAGTCTGCTGTTACTCTTTACGTCAATCGTTTGAATTCTGAAGAGTCTGTCATACCATATGAATATAATCAGTGAGTAACATTTTTATTTTTGTAAGAATTATTGCTAGAGAAGTATAAGTATTTTTTTCTTTTAAAAATATATGTTGTAAATGTTTTTTAAACTATTCACAAATAAGCTGAAATATACTACTTAGTATTAGAAATTTAAAGAAAAGTTACTAATTTAAAGAACCTGAAGACATATATATAATGTGGCTAGTTCGTTAAAGTTTAACGGTAAAATATTTTCTTATCTTATTAACTTGAAAACATTTTTGCCCACTGTTTTTAGATCTCTCAGGGTTTATATTTGTCCTGATTTTTCTCATAAAATATATTTCATTATCGTTTGACCCCATCTTTATTTATTTATTTTTTGTTATTATATTCCTGATTATTTTGGTTGTTCAGATCATTCCCCCTTTCCATGAATACAAGTTCAGATTTTAAAGTAATTAATTTAAAGAGTTCAAGGATTTTGATTTTTGATTTCATCACCTTTTACGCAAACTACTTAAAATCACAAAATTCAATTGTTAAAACAGTCTATTAATTAATTATATGCATGTTTCCAGCTTGTAGCCTTACCTGCAGGATTCATTGTTTCAAATTTGTTAGGTATTAAGTTATTTTATGAAGAAAAAAAAGTTAATAATGTTTCATCATAACATTTTTAGGGCGATGAATTCAGGGCTCATACACTAATACATTATTTTCAGCAAATATTGAAGGGCAGAGCTTAGTTGTCTCTTTTATCCGATTGTAAAAATGATTAATTCCAATCAATAATTTTGTAGAATTTTTAAATGGCGAGATTAAGGGATCATAGAATAAATTATTTTTGCACTATAGAGTTTAGCAACATATTTATTTTAAAGAATATTGAAACCTTACTTTAAAATATTTTGATTTAGGTAGTCTCAAATGATTACAAATTTTAATTTTATGAGGCATGTGATTTTCCGCTAATTTGCGGAATCCTGCAAATCTCTTGACTGTTTATTCGCAGATTTCCGTGAATTAAAAATTTATAATTCCGACCAAATTTTCTCAGTGTTCCGCTAATCTAAAATTTAAATTTCATAACTTTTCCTCTCTTGCCAACATCCTCATTTTTTCTACCTGAAGATTTTCTTTGACACCACTCAAATGACTGAAAGAAAAATTCTTTAATAAATTCATGATGCAAGTAGTAGTTCCAAAATCTCAATCACTTAAGAGATCGTTTGGTGTTCCCAAAATATAGTGTTCTCCAAAAAAATAGTGTTCTTTAAATATTTTTTTAAAATATAAATTTCATAAATTCTGATTTATTATCTAAGAATTATTGAATTCAGTATATTTGTCCTGCTATTTTTTTGCCTTCAATTAAATCAAATCAATATTTTAAAATGATATTATGACATAAAATTACAAATCTGGCATTTGGGTATCACTTTTCAACGCGTTGGATTCCATCGTAAATCTATAGCAATTCGACCATATTTTTTTGAACAAGGGGGCAGTCTTTCTTCCATTCAATTCTTTACCCTTTCTATTCACATTTTTCTTTCCCCCGTTAGGACACTTCTAAGAGTGACACTCTCTTCCTTTTACTCCATCTTTTAGATTCAATTCTTCCATATCCTGTCCCACCTTAACAAGCGTCTGCATTTTTCTTAGCAGACTTCAATTCAATTGCTGTGATGTATAATTCCTCTTCCTTTTCACCCCATTCATTGGTCTTTTACAGTATAACATTAATCTTCTACCTTAAACATCAGGATAGCTATTTTTTAGAAAAAAATTCATAAAGAAATTCTTAGAATAAAAACTTTTAAATTGTGTAGTAGGCAAGGGGCGTTTTTTTGGTACTGATTTACAATCATTATTTGTGTGAAACTACATGGGGAGGGGTGCTTTCTTAAGTCGGGATGTTTTTTTATCAGTATTTTATAGTGAATCAAATTATTCATATCTTGATTCTCTTTATTTCTTCTGCATTATTCCTTTTAAATAGGAGCTGGAAATGCAATATCGACAATCTTAGATATTCTAGAATTTAGAAGCATGCAAGTATAAAATTAGCAACTAAGTATACTCTGGATTAGATGGTATTATAAAACCCTAAAGCGGATGTGTGATACCTGATTTCACAAATGCTATAGATATGATGCATGATTTGTAAAAATAGATAATTCCAGAATATTGTGGTATAAGTGGTATTAAAAGTTTCTAGCTGTTGAAAAGAGGAGAGAAAATGCATCAAATAACACACACAAGCTTTATAATAGGATATCTTTGCCCAAAGACAATATTGTCACTTTGCACTTACAAGGCACATCGCTAGTCGATGTTATCTAGAATAACCGCTCTAAAAAATATTCTCCTAAACCGTGAAGGAGGTTTGAGGGCCTTTATTAAGAGTGAGCAAAGAGAGGGAGTTTTTTTAATGACATCATACTGCATATTACTTTCATCATAGCTCTAGTGATTGGAATTTCCCGTAGACTGCTGTATTTTGACAGTTTCTTCTGGTCTACTGATTTAATAAAAAATTGTTCGAAAATGTTCAGTTTATTTTTACTCAGAATTTGTTTTTTAAATTAAATAATCTCTAAACTATCTTTAATGAATTAAATGACTATTACTATTCAAAATTATGAGTAAACGTAACATTTCAAATTCATTTAATGGCAATCATAACTTGAAAATATTGCAATTTTGTATTTTGATGAATATAAAAATCCCTACAATTCCTTGTAAGTGAAATATTTAGCATATTATGTAAATCATGAAATTTAAATTATATTTTAAAATCTACTGGATTTTTTCCTATCTATGTTGGCAGCTAAGCTTTCATTAATTAGCCACTCGCCTTGGAGAAAAATGTGTTAATCGTTCAAAACCGGGCAGTAACTCTTAATACCAGGGCTGATTGTGCCCCGGAAAAAATCCGGATTTCTGGATTTTTCGCTAACAGTGATCCGGAAGTTTCCGGAGATCGAAGGTCCAGACGTTTCAGAAAATCGTTGATCGCAGAAGTTTCCGGAAATCAAATTTTCAAAGGGGGAACTTAAAAACACAGGTATAGGTATGTGTAAAATTTTATATATATTTTAAGTAAACTAAGAAATACTGAGAAAAGGGAAAAAAATCATTGTTTAAATTTTTTTCTACTTTTTTTTCTTTTTCTTTTTTAACTTAAGAAATTTTCCGGAATTTTGACTTGGACTCACAATTACCCCTGTAATACTGAAGGATTAATGTCTGAATATTATTACTGCAATATCATAGAAATGTCAATGAATTATGGTAGCACCCAGGCTTGTATAGGCAATACTGAACTACGCTTGCATGGTAAAAAATGTTTTATTATAAAATAATGTCTTTAAAATGATAATGAAATAATAATAGTAAACATAATTTTTAATTTCTAAAGGATTTGAAAAAAAAAAACAACAACTTAAAATGCGTTAACAAATCCACAAAATCTTGAGCATAAGAAGTGTAGGTTCTCTGCGAAGTTTCAAGAGCAAGCATTAACAGAGAAATATTTTTTTTCAGCTATAACAATAAATTGATATAAAACAAAGTTATACCAACCAATTCTCATCACATTAAAAATTAAAGCTATCATGTTTAAAACTTAGTAGAAAAAGACCACTACCGATAAGCACTTTGTGGTGAAGGAAAGGGGTTAAGAAACAATCTTAAATATGCTAAATCTTATTCTTAAATATAATCAAATATAATAATCTTAATATAATAATAATAATCTTAAATATAATTAAAATGATTTTCCTGTTAGGAAATTTCACATAGGAAAATAAATAGTACATATTTTCTGTAAGAATTAGTACTGCCACTAATCATGTAAGTCTGCAAAATGATGTAACACGAAAAATAAGTTAAAAATTTTTAATTAACAAATTTATTATAATAGATAATTAAAAACATAGTTATTTATGATTGATAAAAAAATATATCAAAATCCTTCAAAGTCACTTTCATCACTATCAGAGACGAATAAGATCAGGTAGTTTTCATCATTTTCAATATCAACCTTGCTAGTAGAATCCTCAATCATTGCTTCTTTTAAATATGTCTAGTTGGAATATTTATTTATCAATTATTATTTCAGTCAACAACAAAAAAAAAATATATTAATTTTGTTTTCTTCATTTAATCCAGCTTTGACCTCTGCACTACAAGTGACAGTGAATCGCCTGTTGAAAATTTGGGTCAGGTTGTGTTTGGGGAAAGGATTAGACCATCACCTTACGCTGTAAGTAAAAATCCTAACTTGGCTAATTTTTTTGTAAAATGTATTTAAATTTATGTGCAGTGAAACCTCATCTCAGAGACACTCCTCCAAGATGTACATCTCATAACACTTTATACAAAATACCTTTTAGTCTTCTTCAATATAAAAAATCTGTTATGTAATACTCCTTTCCTTATGGCAGAAACTCTCTTAACTCAACAAAGACGTTAATTTTCATGTGAAGGAAAAGAAAAGAAAAAAAAAACCCACAAATCTCTTAAATGAACAATAAAAATTTATTCCATATTTTCATAAATTATTTTTAGTTTCATCGTTTTCTAAACTAAAATTTGATCTAAGGTATGAGCAATATTTTTTTTTTGGTGGACTAAGTAATGAGTGGGGAGAAATGCAGCCTTTCTTTTAGAAAATGAGAAGAAAGCAATGTGTTTCTTTATGGTTTTTGACTAATGCATTAGATTGTTGTATGATTGTATTGTGCTTCACAGCAACTACCTTTTTTACAAAGCTCAATGGAGCCAAGATGCTTTAGAAGTAGGATTTGCCAAACACTTTGTTACACTTTTCATTTCAAACTTCAGAGAGGTATTTTATATAATGAATTGAATTTGTAACCAATTATTGGTGACCCATACGTAGAATTTCCATTAATGTGATTTGGGATATCATGCTACAAAAAGCATTGAACTCTTGATTTAATGGGAAATTTGTTTTCAATTTGCTTTTGCTACTTGATTATGGGGCCAAAAAATTATACTTAATTTTCTGCCAAAAAATTATTCAATTCTATTATAAATCATCAAAGAAGATGTTATATGTTATTTGGTTTTTTATTCCATATGGTTTTTTATTCCATATGATTTATTCCTTATGATTTTTTATTACACTTTTCATATGTTATTAGATAATTTGGAAATCTTACACAAATAAATAAATCTTAATACTATCTGTAGTTCTTTCTACCTCATTTTCTTTTAGGCTTCCACTGTAGAAATGCTAATATTAAATATCTTATAAAAATTACTCTTGGCGATGGTGAATGTGAAGTAATATTTTAAATGAAGTAGAATATTATTTTTAAAAATTGCTGTAAATTGTTAGCAAATATATTATAATCAAGGGTCTGTTTAGAAGAAATTTAGGTCCGTTAACGAACCCTTCACAAAATATCTTTTCAAAAAAACGGACCCTTCACAAAATAATTTATCTTTTAATTGGACCCTTCACAAATTTGTTTATCTTCATTATTGTTTTGTTAATCGATTAACCCTTCCTGGGAGAAAGACAGATGTAAACGAACTTAGTTTTGTCCTCGGCCGACGCTTCTTCCTTTATTCATCTGAAATGAATATTCTGCGTTCAGCAGTATAGGCTAAATACCAAGTATTTGTATGTTGCATCTCTAGTTTAGTAACAGCAATTGCTGTTTATTTTTAAATTTTTTTTAATTATAATTTTACAGTGTTGAGCATAATCTTGTATCTCTTTACAATTTAAAAACTCCTTGAAATTTTTTTTTTGCAATAACAGGACTCTATTTGCACAAATTCACAAAAGCAGGACCCTGGCTTTTATATTCACAAATTGCGAGTAATTTTTTCACAATTTTACAAAAACCGACCTTTTACAGAGTGTCGGGACAGACCCCTGATAACGAAATATAAGTCATTTTGAATCTAAGCATATATCCTTCACTCAACATGACAACTATGCTGCAAAGTTAAAATGAAGAAAAGTATGGATATAAAATATTTTTCAGGCTATTATGAGTGAAAGCAGATCCTCAATATCATTGTCTTCATTAAGTGTTATTTCATCTAAATTTTTATGGTATTTTTTTATTTTGCAGTAATATTTTCCATAATTTGTTATGAGAAGTATTTGTATTTTTTTTCTGTATATTTTAGATTAGTTTTTTGAAGAACGTCTCTTGTGTCCCCGTCTGTGAGAAGACTTATCGCATGAGCAATAAGGATGATGTGGAGAGGCTGAACAATTTGAAGAAAGGAATGTTAAAGAACTATCAACACCATTGGTAAAATATTCTAATATTTTTTCGATGTGAAGTTATTTCACTAATTACTATTTTGATCTCTCCTTTGATTTTTCTCTACTCTAAAAGGAAAATAAAATAAAACCATTCAATCACTAGGTACTGAAATAAAGTCCATTGTTGAAATTCAATAATTATTTCATATTTTCATTGAATATGTTTGTCTAGTATAGGAGTAAAATATAGTAAAAGCCTGACTACCCAGAATTTTTCTAACCAGAAGCTTCAAATTAATAGAAACTTCATAAAATCATAAAAAAAACTTTCTTATTATTTCCTTCTTTGTTTTTTTGTATTTTTACAAAATGTTTGATTGATTGACGCATTCAAAAATTACAAATAAGCAGATTCTTATGCAGGGCTCAAAGTTGCCCTAAAATTCCTTAATTTTCTTAAAAAAGAAAGTGTCCTTAATTAAAAGCAAAAATAAATATTATTTATCTGAAAAAGAATTGAAGAAATTTCAAATTCAAAAATTTTGTGTATGTTATGAATCAAAGTATATAACAAAATGAATGCCTAAGTCTTCATAGTGTGTCAAATATGGTATTAATTTACTTCCATAGTTAGAGACAATTACCTTTGACTTAATGGTATAGAACAGTGTTCCCCAACCGGTCCGTGGATGAAATGGTACAGGTCCGCCCGTTATTATGATATCAATATATAATAATTTAATTACATATTAATATATGTAATTAAATTATTATATATTGAAATTAATATATGTAATTAAAAATGATCTAAAATATAAACAATCAACGCCCCCCCACCCCTGCGTACCGGGGTAAAATTATCAAACGTTGACAGGTCCGCGGTGATAAAAAGGTTGGGGAACACTGGTATAGAACATTCCACACATGTAGAGAAATATATAAAAAGCTCTTATCTCTCTTTTCTCCCATCACTATATCATACTCTACTGATTTTCACAAAAGAACCCTCTTATTTTGTTACTACTTAACGAATTTAATCATGTTTATACTATTTTCTCCCACTTTATATATATATACAATAAATGTTTGCTTAACTTTTTACAAAAAAAAAAATCTGACATTTTTTGCTTAATCCAGGAACTACTGAAACTAATACTAATTGTGTATCTGCGAATTCATGTTGGTATCTAGAACTTGCTCCCATTAGAGAATGAGCATCTTTAAATTGTGTTTAAATTTGGGGGCAATTTAGTCCTTATTTCTTAGATTCTGGACTTCCAGCCCTGCTTAAGCTTAGAAGCCTGAAAGATTGAGTACACAAAAGCTTTTGTTCGAGAAAAGATTGCTATTTCAATAAGAGTTAACTAAAAAAGTATATTTAATTCTAAAAGGAACTTTGGAAGTTATAAAATAGAAGGAACACACTTGATTTTCAAAGATTAATGAGTTTTTTCACAAATAAAATAAATTGACTTGAGCTTCACTTCAATTTTGGTAAATGAGATAGTGCTGCTATGTACTGGGATTTTAATCACGTTAAAGATATTCCATGAAGGTTACTGCATGGTCCTGGGCCAACTTTCATGTTTAAAATAAAGTGGTAAAACAAATTAAACTTTATATTTTCTTTGCAACTAATTAATTAATTATACAATAGATATATGATTAACCGACACATTCCAAAAATACATTATTTACCAAATTTATGTATTCAGTTAGAACTAAAAAATATATGTAAGGACTTTCCATGTAGGTTACATTTCTCATACTTAGTATTTTTTGTTATAGAAAATTAACTAAAATGTGTAAAATAAAGATTACAAACATTAAATTTAAACTTTTTTTTAACTTAATACTAACTCTCTCATTTGAAAGCTTTAACATTAATGTTTACCATTTAAGCCATCAAAACCACAGGGAGGAAAAATTTTCCTTGATTTCGGAATGACCCAGGTAGAAAGTTATTAAATTGTTTCATTATTTAGTTTGCTCTTTGTGCATCTCTATTAAAAAAATTTCTTGTTTTAAAGGTGGTTATTTAAAAAAGTTACATTTATTTGGCATTTTTTATTTCATTTTGATTGATAATGGAGACAATATATATTCAGAATGCAAGCATATCTAAATTTGCTACTTCAGTTGTAAATACTGCTTACTGTATCATTGGTTAATTTGATGAAAAAGAAATTCCATTTTTATTGAAAAAAAGTTTGATTTCATAATATTGATTTAAATGAATCTTTCTTCATTGTGGTGGACGTTACTTCTTCCAGGAATACTCGCTGTGTTTTTTTTTTGTATTAATAAATATAGTTATTGATTGCAATTGTATTAATAAATATAGTTATTGATTGCAATTTCTTGTTATTTTTTAAAGCAAAATAATTAGGTTCAAAAGGAATTTGCATTTTATTTTAATTTTAGTGCTGTGGGGGAACTCTAATCGCATAGGGTGGGACAAAGGCGCATCATTACTGCAATAAAAGTGTTAATGTCTTATGTTGATTTTTTTTTTGTGGAAGTGATTGAAAATATTTATCAAAGATGGTAAATGAGTTTATTTTCAAATTACCATGTCAACGGAAAAAAAATAGTGTTTTTTGCCTGTTATATTCCTGTTTTATTAATAGAACATGTGCGTAGCATTTTTAAAAAGTGCTTAAAGGTGCTTATTTTTAATTTTCATTATTTAAAAGCCATTAAAGGTGATTTTTTCATTGGGTGTTTTTAAGAAGTGCTTAATTTTCCCTTTTCAAAAATGAGATTTTTTTTGTTAACATGTTAATTTTCCCCACATATCATGCAAAAGCGTGCTTTTTACATTGTTCTATTCAGTGTTTTCACAATTCATTTTGACGTACCATCAGTCCATACCATATGAAAGCTCCGATCATTTTACATGTTTAATGAAGTACTTGCGGGTCCGTAAGTGCCTCTACTGAGCTGGGTCCGGTGAAATTATTGTCTTCTCATGTGCAACTCTGTTCCATTTTGCAAGATATTTTAAATTTCAGACTTCATTTTCCACCCTCTGATTTCGAACTGAAAAATCTCTCGATCATTTTATAACGGCTAATAGAATCAAGAAAAGAGTTCTTTGTCAGAAACCAGTTATTTTTTCTTGATCATCTAAAGTCTTTGAAAATTATTTTGCATTTTGTTAATCTATATATTGCTTAAAAATATTTTTTGAGTGCTTGAAAAGTATTTAAAAGGTGCTTATTTTTTGTTGAAAGATTTGACTGCACACCCTGAAGAAGGAGATCACAAATTATTAGTTTATTTTATTATTTCTTTTTTTTTTTATCAAAAATCATAGAACTTGAAAAGGATTGATTGTTGCTTATAATGTTTGTTAAGTAAAATTTTATTATCTGAGCAAATAAAATATACAGTTAAAAGTGTGATGCACTGATGAAAAATTACAATTTATAATTAGTTTAAAAATGCAATGTATTTGTTGTTTTATGTATATTTAACAGTTTCTAATAGTAGTTATTTTCTCTTTTTAATTTTCTAATCTATATTTTCTAGGATTGTGGATAATATGCCTATAACATGGTGCTACCAAGTTGAAGCTAATCAACAATATTGTTCTACTGGTTTTCCTATGGGATGTTATGTCAATACAGCAGGGCAACCCAAAGATGCTTGTGTGATGAATGTATGTATTATTTTATTCATCATGCTAAAATAATACAGTCACTGCTTGTAAATGACCCCCGTGGTCCAAGTGGAAATAGGTTCTATTTTATTTAATTTCTGTTTCGAGTAGCTATTTTTTCTAAATAACTGGCAAAAAGGGTGGATACAGTGTGAAAACAAAAACAAAATGCGATGAATTTATTGAACCCTTTGAAAAGAAATTTATAAAGGTTATGTTCTTTGTGATTTATGCTCTACTTTAACGAAATAAGCGTTTGGTAAATCTTAGTTTGCTATCTGTTAAAATACTGTACTACAAATGATTTTGTTATATTCAAAATGCATTACTAATATTCTGAGGTAGTAAAACAATACAGTGTTTTTAAAATTGGAGCAGCTATACTAAATATTATTTTTCCATTAATTCTAATGCGCTTCATTAAATTTTTCACAAAAACTTCTATTGGTGCCCATCTTTAAAAGTAGCAAGTATGCTGATGCTAATTGGAAATTTTTTGCTAATCTTCGAAACAACAATGTTTAATTAGACCATTTGAATTGGTAGCCGTGGGCTGCACATTATAAAAAATTGCTACAACTATTAAACAATGTAAAATTGAGGAACTTAATTTATGCTTTAATGTAATACAATCTGGTTGACATATATTATAGCATACTAATTATTGCTGTGTAGGTCCTTGTTAAATTTGATTTTAAGTCATTGAAAAGTCCTTGAATTTTTTTTTTTTAAATTGAGTGGGAACCCTATAACTTTTATCCCTTGTCATATCAGTGGTTTAACTTTTCATTTTTATACCATGATTAAAAATTCAATGTAAAATTTTATGTTAAATTGACCAGAAAAAGTAGTTTCATGATGTTAAATAAAATTTCTGTTACTACATTACTTTGAAACCAAAATTCAGTTAAACATTAATATTTTTCTTGTAATTTTTTTCAGAACAACTACAACCATCATGATTCTTTTTACGTATTCAATCATGTGGACATAACAATTACGTATCATAGTGGTGAGGATGAATCTTGGGGAGTTGGCTTTAAAGATAAAGGTGGAAGAATTGTGCGAGTTAAAGTGTCCCCTCGAAGGTATGTATTTATTCAACTGTTTTTTAAAGTGAAGAAAGTAATTTTCAAATTTTTTTTCTGCGTTGAAAAAATTTTATTAATCTTTTCCCCCTGCTTTCTGTTTATATCTTAAAATTGAAAAATATATTGTTATTTATTATCTGTTTATGTGAATTGTAAAAACGTCTATCTTAAGCACATGCTCAAATGTGCTGACTTGTTTAGCTTTTGGTCTTTCTTTTTTTAACTTTAGTTTCTTTCTGTCTCTATTTTTCAGAGAAATATCTTTTCTTGCTTTTTGAATCATGTATCTTTCATTTAATTTTTGGAATCTCCCTTTCAGAGTGGTTTAGTGTCGGTACCTCACTCCCCCCCTCCTGTTTTACTCCGGAATGTTTTGTTCCAAATGCTGCTGTTAGTCAAGCACATCAATTGTTTTGCACTTCATTATTGGTGCAAGAAAAAATGAATGACTCTAGCACTATTTTTACAAAAAGGAAAAAAAAAAGACTACTTAAAAATTGACTACTAATTTGCAAAAAGAATTAACCCAATTATTTAAAATATAATTTGTTGCTAAACTAGCAAATCCTGCCAAATTTAGTTATCAAACATGAGTTTCCAACTATCTTGCTGTTTTGTCAAATTTATAAAGACATTTCTCTAAAACTGACTGTTTCTAAAATCGTGTTTTGATCAAGTGTCACTTTAGGTTTAATGGTTTAAATAAAAAATAGGATTTAAAAAAATTTCACAGTACGAAATTAATTATCCGTTGGCAACTGACTATAATTCTGGTATAAGAAGCAACTCTAAATTTTGTTAACAAAAATTAACCAGAACCTGTTAGGTTTTTCTGATAAAAGATTTCTTGTACAAATATTTTAACTGAAAATTTAATTTTAAAGATTATCTGAATTTGATTGATACTTTAAATTTTTAACTTTCTTTTAAAAATTCATTTTTAAATTCATCATATGTTTAATAAAATTATTGTTTTTGTAATAGTTAAGAATATACAAGAAATAAGATTTCAGAATAATTTAAGTTTCAGAAAATGTGATTTTTTTTTTATGAACATACATAGCTATACTGAAAAACAGTGCTTGTTTTTTTACTTAAATCCATCTAAAAATGGGTACTTGTTTTTCTCAACAGCTTTTTTTCAACTTTACTTTGCATGATTATGCAAAAGATGAGTCATTTGAACATCTTGAAAAAAGATAATAATTTCTTGAATTTAATATTATCACTATTTTTTTATTAAATGTTTTTGTTCAATAATGTTGTTGATTTACAGATTAGTTCTATAATTTTTATATCATTTTCTTATCATCCAATAAGAATACAGCAAAATTTTTTTTGTTTTTGTTTTAACAGTTTGATATTTTTGAGGTAATATGTTGTCAAATTATTGAATTATTACTTATGCTGTCAAATTGTTGCTTTTGTTGTAAATTGAAAGTTACTGCTTTTATGAAAAGTTGAATGGGTGTGAGATTATGTGTTTGATTAAACATAATTTTGTCTAACTTCATAAAATGTATATTGTAGTGTAAGAAGTTATTGGTAGTTAATATGCTTAGTAAGATGCTGTATTGGATTTGTAAAAATCTTAAATTGAAATATTACCAATTGATTTAACGAATAAAATAAAGTTAATAGTTTAATAATTTAATTTCCGTTTTTTTAAAAAATTAATAAAAATTCAAAATTAATATTGTGACCATTGTTATACCAACTTTTTACTACATTTAGTATCTTTTAAAACAATATGGATGGTGATTTAACATTTTCTTTAAGTATGTCTTCATACAGTACTTGATTATCAATATTTGCTTAAGAATGACTTGTTGGATAATGCTTGATCTGACAAGTCATTCTTTCAATACTTTTTTTTAAATTTGAAGTAAAGCAAAAATCAAGTATGCAAAACGTACCGCTAATGTTTTTAGGAAATATTCAATTAATCCATAGAGGAAATTTGTAAGAATATTATTAAACCCTCTTATGGGCAAACACATATAAATTTGTATTTTGGTTTGTATTCTTTTCTGCATTGTGCAAAACCAGTTTACCTATGTTATGAGATAAAATTGTCTATGTTATTGAAAGGGAATCAGTATGTAGGGGAGAGGGAAGAAACATTGTCTCATATACAACCATTTTCTTTAAAATTGAGGCAGTCAATGTTAAAAGGGGTCTGTTATAAATCTGCAATTTTGAGAAAAACGAAAAGAAAAAACTGTGTCGAATGTGGAAAGATTGTTTCCAAGTAGTTAAAGAGTAGTAACTTCCAAGTAGTTGGATTCTCTTCTTTAGGCAGTCTAGAAAATTACTCGGTATTTGATATCTAGAAATGGATGTAGCTGTTTGAACTGTGCATTTTTGAAATTTAGCGCATATCCCCATTTAACATTGACAACAACTACAAAAAAAGGGAAGAAAGAAAAAAGTAATGAAGTAAGAATTATCCTTTTATGTTAAAAGCAATAATTTTATTCCCCAAACAAATATTTTGAAACATTATTAAAGTTGATGACAAATCATAAGTACACGATATTAGTCAAAGAATGTACAGAAACTGTTCATTCCTCCCATGGCTGTCTTTGTTGAGATTTTGTGTAACTGAGTTAGCTTTGGTTTGAGTTTTTTGCCCATCTCTGCATTATTGAATAGAAATCATAATGCACAACATAGTTTGAAAGTGTTCTCAGGACATCTAATTTTTTGCTGTTAATGGCCAGCTGAATAAGCTTTGAGAGTTAGGAGCTGAAGAACATCCTTTTTAGTTACCACAAAAGAGAATCTGTGGATGTGGGATGTACTGCATAACAACCACTTTTCCATGTATATCATGGCTGTGAGAAAAATCACGATGGCTGTATGAAAAGTCTTATTGTTTCAGTGGCATTGATATGTTGGTTACTGCTGGACAGCTGTTGAGCTACATCTATTTATTTTTCTGATTTTTCAATGATGTATAAAATACCCCACACGTGTAGTTAAATCTTAATGATAATATCAAAGTTAATAGGCCTCACTTTATTACAATTACTAAAACATAACATTGATAAGCCTCATTCTAGCACTGATTGCAATAATTATCATTGTAATCTATTGTTTTACAATTATTGTAAGAGATTCTCAATTCAATTTTCCATGATACAATGTTGCTATAGTTATACCAAGTCATTGTAGTAATGGGGCACGTGCTACACATATCCCTTTTCAAAAATGAATAAAAATTACAGGGGGAAGTTACTTGAGAAGAAGCTATGATGCATGTCCCGTTCCAACTCTGAACATTGCTGTTATCTTAACAGATTCCAAAACTAACAATAAACTTATTTTCATAAAAATTTTACCCCCTTTTAACATTGACCGCTTTAATTATAGGATTAATTAGAAGAAACAGTTTCTTCTGCGTTGCAACAATTTAACAAAAATGTGTTTAACTATTTCCAAGGCCTTAAAAATTATAAATATTGTTGCCAGTTGTAAATACCATATTCTATTTTGAAATTTACATCCTAGTTTTTATATCGATTTAAGTTTGTTTTATCTATACATATTTTTTAAAATTTTATATTTTGTTTTTATATTTAAATAGTATCAAGCATCAAGCTGAACCTAATTGCATAAACTACAAACCTATGGATATTCCAAATAAATTACAACCTACTGATGTCGTTTCTGTAAAGTATACCTACAGTGTGAATTTTACTGTGAGTATACTGATTTTGCTAATAAATTTAGTTGGTTTTAGTAAAAGATGGTTTTTTGATGACAAAAACTGGTTTAACTCTCAAAAATTTATTAAATTCCTCAAGAACATAAGATGATTGTCATAGAACTGTAATCTATTTGAAGTGTTTTATTTTACTTTTGAAACAATAAATTAAATGTGTAAATATACAAATATGAGTATTATGTGAATATCCATATGTAATTAATTTTTAAACCGACTTAATGAAACAGACCTCTCAAAGAATTTTTAAACAGACTCAACGAAAATTAAAATATTATACAATTATTATTTTAGTGTTTATTTTATTGAATGGAAATATTTTGTTATAATTTGCAACTTACTTCTTAACCTTTAACCTAACTCGCAATGTTTAATATGAATAATGAAATTAATACCAATACTTAGGAGCAATATTTTAGGTGACAGTTTCATGCATGTTTATGATGATGAACTGTCAACTATGTTGTTTTGATAATAAACTATCAAAGACACATTCATGTCAAAAATTTGTCAACCCTGGATTTCATAAATAAATTTATTTTTTAGAAGCTATTTTTATTGCATTCATTGAATTTTTTAAAAATTCTTTCAGCTTCAATAATTGTTGCTAAGTTTTCCTCCCTTTTCTTTGTGAAATATTTCATAAGAGTTAGGTGGTAGTGTACATTGATTTCTTAAAGCTGTGCATGCTTGGATAATGTTTAGATTACGCACAGTTAAAATGATTCGGAAAATTTTAATACATTTTTTTTGTAAAATACTTTTCTGTCTAAGAATGGCTTATTAAAAAGGGTCTTTGTAAATTCTTTTCTGTAAAACGCAGAATACCATAAATAATATTAATTTTTATTAATCTAGTACTCATGAGAATAAAAATATAATCATATATAGTCAAAAGAAAGCAATTATTTAATTATTTTTTTTTTTTTCAAAAATGTTAGTGCAGTGGAAAATTGTTTCGACAGGGTTCCCAGCATATTACCGAAGTCAAGTATCACTGAGTACAGTTTCTGAACTGCTGGGTGACCACTTTGATCAGCCTGTAAAGAGACCAAGGGTGTGTGGTATTGAATTTTGTTAAACTGTTCTATCATAAAGTGCTCGACTTTGCACTTAGGTTGTTGGGCTACCAATGTGGAAAACCATCCCTCTGCTGTGGATCAAAATTGTAATGGCATGTCTTAGGATCATCCCCATGGATGTTTCCCAGACTGTCACCAATAGCCTATCGTGCAGCTCTAGTATAATGTAAATAAAGTACTACTATTGAAATCTTAAGAACTTTTTTTAACTAGCATTTATCTGAGCTTCATGTTTTTTACTATAAATTTTTTAATGATGTTTATGTTTGGAAAATTCTTTCATAGTGAAGAGTTAGCATAAACAACTATTTGATAAACTAACCAATTGCCTGACAAACCTCAAGTCAAATTTCAGTTTCTTTATAAAATTTCAGATTTTTTAGTTTATGAACTTAGAATGAATGTCTGAAATTTTTAAAGGAATTAAAATTATTTTTTTTCTAATTAATATTTTACCAAAGTATGTCTATTTGTTAAATAATTTTTTTTTGTAAGACAAAAGATGCATTATTATATTTACACTGCACTTCTGATTTATTTTGCTTAAAAGTAACTATGTAAATATTTGTATAGTAACTTGTTTTCTTACAGAATTTGCATTTGACCACTTAAGTATGTTTTTAGCAGGTGAAAAATATGTTCTAATATCAAATACTGATTTTTGATTTACAGAAAAATTAACTTGTCTTGTATTTCTTATTACATAAACTCTATCTAGAAAACTTTTTAGCAGCCTAATAATTAAAAAGTTTTACTTATTGCATTTTTTAAAAATTAAAGCGGAATATTGAACCTTTGGATCAGTTCTGGGTAAGAATTAAATTGTTTAACATTTCAATAAAAAATGAAAACTTAGAACAAATAGAGAAGGGGCATTTACTAATATAATAATTGTTTTAATCTTTTAATTTTACAGAAAGAAAATAGGGTTAAGTGGTCTTCTCGATGGGATTACATTCTGGAATCAATGCCTCATACTAATATTCAGTGGTTCAGGTAAAAGTTGATTACCTATTAATTTAATTTCTATGATTGATTTAATTTCTATGATTTTTTTGGTGATAATATATGTATATATATTTACAGTATTTTGAACTCTCTGGTGATAGTCCTCTTTTTGACTGGAATGGTTGCAATGATATTGCTGAGAACATTACATAAGGATATTGCTCGTTATAATCAGATTGAAAGTGCTGTATGTTCTTATTTTTTTATGGCTATGAATATTTTATAAGATCTGTTAAAAATATTATCTATTCCAGTATTAAAAATTTCTTTCCTAATGCTAATTTATTTTAATCAGAAAAGCTTTTTAAGTAATTTTAGTATATTTTTTTCCAAACTAAGGTTTTTTATAAATTTCAGAAGCACAATAACTGAGTAAATACATACTTCCAACTATTTTTACCAATAGTAGCAAACTAAAGCGAAAAATTTAAAATAAATACAGTTTGTACAAAGCTTTTTAGCAGGATAATTTTTTTATATCTGTATAAATTATTTACATGCAGTGGTGAACAATTTTTTTAATTCTAATTTATTAAAATATTCATACATTATCTTAGCTGCTACTAGAAAAATATTTTTTGACACTACGAAAACTTCACAGTAGTTGGGGGATTTCTAAATGTAAAGCTTTTTTAAGCATTTAGCGCAATTTAAATCTGTGGAACATAAATTTAATGTTTCATTTGAGTATTTCAAGGTTTCTTCCATTGTTTTGTAAAAATATGAAAAATCATTGTTTATTGACATACTTTTGAGAATTCTGGCATTTGTAATTTACATGTTCTTTTAAGGCAAAACTATTTTTTCAAGGAAGCAAACGAATTGCTCTTGAAAAATACAATTCAAAATTAACTTTTTCTTTTAAAAACAAAAGTTTAAAATCTTCTTAATTTATGCAGTTGGGCATACTGGGAATACACCTCTTGTGTTCTTTGAAAAATTGGTTATAATATTCTCTTAAAACTAGTCACTAGAAGAATTTTCACCATTGGATTGCTATAAAAATTTACTGAAGAATATTTTTGAACTAATTGTATTATTTAAGAATTTAAAAAAAAAAAAATAATAAAAAAACCAAACTCTGAAATAATTCTTTTGGTGTAATATTATGAAAACTGTGTACTATATTCAGTTGAACCACTTATAGCAAAAATTAAAGGGGCTGATTTTATTCGCTTGTAAAATCAGGTATTCGTTAATGATGGTTAGATGTTTGTTTTTATGAAAATCTCTTAACTTTTTATGAGATTCAGTGGAACAGTAAACTAACTTCATGAGAAAAGCATAAGTTTTGTGAATGTATTTGTTTTATTTTAATATCTATAAATGGAAATTTCAATAACTGTTTTTCCTTTACACATTAAAATTTTGTTATTTTATTAATGTTATTGTAAATAATTTTTCTTAAAATAAATGATATGTCAAAATATTTTATTTTCTGTTCATCCTTGTGCTTAATTTTGTTACTGAAGTGACTTATATGTAAGAAATACCATTGTAGTTCATTAGATTCCAGTAATAATTTGAGTTTAAAATGTTTCGTAAAATTTTTTACAAATTTAAAAAAAATCCAAAAGATTTTAAGACTGGTATGATTTTAAATAAATGTTTGTATCTAATTTGTCACAACATGCAGAGTTAAAAATTGTATCAAAAATGAATTACATAATTATCACGAACATAAATTTTTTTTCTTCTAGGATGATGCCCAAGAAGAATTTGGATGGAAACTTGTTCATGGGGATGTATTTCGCCCACCTCGTAAAGGAATGTTATTGTCCGTACTCCTTGGCAGTGGGGTTCAAGTATTTTTTATGGCATTGATTACACTATGTAAGTGTTTTTGACTTATTGTCACCGTTTTTTTTTATATCTATGATTGTCTAATATTTTTCTTTTCTGTATTTTATACAGCTAAGTTTATAAATGGCATAAATAGTAAAATTAAACTTTTATTAATGCTGTTAAGCTTACTAAATTGAGCATCTTCATTAGCTGATCATAGGACTTTGTAATAGATGGTGAAGTACTAGTTTAACACTCCTTGCAAATCAATGCTTAAATGGAGTAGGTTTGCAATATGTTAATGAAGTATCTTTCTTCCATCAAAAATATAGTTTTTTAATGTAACTAGAGTAAAACGCTATTTACTCTAGTTTCACCTTGACCTTCCTCTTTTAAGATTTGGTTTTGAATTCCAAAATCAATTTCCTCCCACTTCCTCGAAATCGCAACAGATCGTCGCTTTGAAACTAAACTCAAAAAGCAAGTTTTTCAGGAGAGCGATTTCTAACTTTTCAAGATGGTGAATTGCACCAATGCGATAACGATTTACCTGCTCTTTAAATTACTTTTTTGCTGATTGTGCTCCGTAAAAAATCCAGATTTTTCGCTAACTGTGATCCGGAAGTTTCCGGAAATCGAAAATTCAGGCGTTTTAAAAAATTATTGATCACAAAAATTTCCTGAAATCAAATTTTCAAAGGTGGAACTTAAAAACACAGTTTATTTTATTTATTTGTAAGGAAGAGCCAGATACTTTATAAGCTTATATTAAAGATTAATATTCATTTTTTATCAGATAGTTATTATAATCATAAACTCAAGAAAGAAAGACATATTTGTAAATTTCAATTACTTCTCCAGGTCTTTCATTGGTATGTGTAAAATTTTAAATGTATTTTAAGTAAACTAAGAAATGTTGAGAAAAAGGAAAAAACCTTGTTTAAATTTTTTTCTAATTATTTGATTTAAACTTTTATTTTTTTTTATTCAAGAAATTTTCCGGAATTTTGACTTGGGCTCACAATCATCCCTGTTTATGGAACTTATGAAGATTGTTTCTCTTAAAGGGTGATTTTTTTTACACAAAATGACCCAAATATCTAATTTTTCGATTTTTTTGAGTTATTACGGTTTAGTTTCAAAGCGACGAGATGGCCGGGCGTGCATTAGTCTTGTAAATTTTAGAAACGAAAGAGAAATAAATTTGATAATTTGTTGCTTAAAAATAGCTTCACAGTTTTACTCCATACTCATAATTATGTTTTATGTTTTTATTTAGTCAATTGAGGGGACTTGTTTTTTTGCAATCAAATGATTCGTCACCTAAAAGAATGCACTTAAAAAGAAGCTAGCCTGAAAACAGATGCACTTGCTCTAGCTTCTGCTATATGGAACTCTTCCATTGAAATCAGTGCAAGTTGTAAACTTGGAGTGAATCTTACTGTTGATAAAAAACTTCCATCAAAGGTTATATATGCCCTTTCACTCAATATATTCTCAGTAAGCCTGACAAGTTTGGGAAAAAAGATTTGGTTGCTTGTTTGCAAAGATTCTAAATATGTTTCAAATGGATTTCCTTATACTAGTGCAGGTAACAAGCGGTCAGCTTTTTTTGACCAAGCTGTTCATAAACATAGTATGAAGTTACTCCTCCATACTTAGGAAAAGGAACAGCTACTGACAGCTATTTTCTAAAAGTCTAGTCTTACCTCTCTCTAAAAGTCTAGTTGAAACATTAAGAGATCCCAGAGCAGTGCCAATAACTGCAAAATTAGAAAAGGTAAAGATATAACATTAACTGTCTAACAAAGGAATAAAAATGTATTACTGCTTAGTTTACTTCATAACGCAATGAATTTTGATGACAATGAAAAGAAGAAGCCAAGAACTTGAACATATTATAGTAAAACAAATTACGGTCTGGACATAGTAGATCAAATTATATGTCTTTATAGCATTAAAACTGGAACTCGTCATTGGCTTATACACTTATTTTTTAATATTTTAGATCCGTTTTCTATAAATATCCATATTTTCAGACATGCTAACTCTCCCGAATTTTTTGTTCTTCTCCCGCTCTCCGGAATTGATCAAGAAATCTCCTGAATTTTACCTTAGTCAACGACCAAACTCAAAATTACCTGATTTTCCGCTAGTGTGGAAGTTTCATTTTTTGTTCCGTGCAAATTCCATTCTCCCTTGTAATATTCCATGCCCCCTTATCGAACTACCATCTGGCTGAGGTACAGTTGCACATGCTTCATTTTCCCCCTCCTATTTGACCCGTTGAAATCTTTCTTTCCTGCAGGTAATTGAATGAGATGACATCACAGGAGGATAATGAGTGGCGTCAGTACAGATGCAGGAAACTGACTCTTGATTCTTGAAATCGATTATCTCATCCTTCTGTTTTTATAATATTTTAGTGCATATTTTTTCAACGTTTGGCAATACATAGATCGTTCTTTTTTTGTTGTCATTTGTTTACTGAAACAATATTATTTCCATTATTATTTTTGTCTTACTATATGTTTTCAAAATATTCAAGGATGTCTAAGTCGCAGCAAAAATATATGACCAATTGTAACCAATCATACCAATGAATTTCCTTCAATTATTGCGTCGATAAAAGGAAACACGTGTGCTGTTTGTTCCGATTATGCATTTGATATATTAATTTCTTACGGAGGTACATATAAATGGGTAAAAGCACAAAGAAGCAGTGAAATTTTTACAAAGTATCAAGAAAATTTATTTTCCCATTGATGACAATTATGTTATAAGGGCTTCACTATTTTATTTCCATTTGATATGGAAACTTTTTAAAACAAAAGCATACCTGATTAATAGTTGAATTTCTTCCACAATTTGTTATCTTATAGTGTGTAAAATTTCTTGCATTCCTATATTTGATAAATTTTTTACTTAAAAAAATTTATTAGAAGTGTCAAATGTCGCATATTTTACCCTTTTTACGCCTCCTGAATTCTTGTTAAGGAAACATTTCACTAGGTTGGCACTTCTGTATATTATGTAGAAAGGTGACTGGAAAGAAAAGACTTAGTCACAGAAATGATATATTACTGTGAGCTTTGTGAAGAGCTTTGTGTTTCACATGTGTCATCCAGATATATAGCTAATGTAAGGAAATCTGTGGAACAAAGTTAAGATCCCTCTTAAAAAGCGGACCAAATGTAGGGTAAAAACATCTTCTAAAGTAAATTATATGCAGAGTAAATGCTTGACTGTAAAAGAGTGGCAAATGTGCTATAATGTAAGTATGGGGTACTGAGTGTTCTGACAACTAGAAAAGATTTAAAAGAATCAAGTAAGTGTCACAAAGTTTCAGTTTTGGTATTTGAACAAGATCAATTTAGCTTATTTATTTTTTAATTATTAAGTATATAGAGTGGATACTCAATAATATAAACACTAATAATATTAATGGCATAAGAAAAGCCATTATACTCCATTTAATGAAGTGTTTCTGTTATTAAAATGTAATAAAATACCTTAAAATTTAAACAATGGGGTTCTGTACTATGCATTTATTCAATTTTTACCATATTTTAATATTTTAAATGTCTAATTGATTAAATATCAAAAGATCTTATAGGGCTAAGTTGTACTCTTTTGTCTTTCTAGGTGTACAGGGATTTTCAGTCTTATTAGTGTTCAAACAAAATTTTTAACTTTTTTAAACAGTTTTTTAATTTTCCAGTCATTCCAAACAAGAATACTTCCTTGTAAATTTTGCGAAATATCAAAAAATCAATGAAGTCTTAAAAAATTTTCCAGACAAAATTTTTTTAACATTTTTTAATTAAATAGAATAAATAAGTTAATTAAAAAGAATTTAGCTTAAAAAAGTTGAAACTAAGGATAAAGTACTCTTTCATAGCCTGATCTTCTAAAATAATTTTTTTACTGGCAAATGTTATGATTCTATTATGCATGGTATCTATGGTCAAAAAACACACATGCAGTTTGGTTTATTTTTTGTAGGTATCTATGGTCAAAAAACACACATGCAGTTTGGTTTATTTTTTGTAGGAAAAGATTGAAAATTCATTTTATTATAAAATTGTCGAACCTTTATGGAATATTAGTTTTCTGGTTTGCATAAATCAACTTGGTGAAAAACAAAAATTCTCAAAAGAGTTATGATATTTGTTCTGGTATTTTAAATAAGCACCAACAAAAACAGCTGTATACCTTAGAATAATGTTTCTTTTTACTTTACTCATTCTCACTCAAGGAGGAACAAATAACACATGACTCTTTTGTATATTAGTTATCTCTGAACCAATTAAATTTAAGTTATTATTGTAAATGTAATAATTTTTTTCGCTATTAAATGTTGTACAATAGAAAATGCCTTATAATTTTGATTTAATTTTCAGTCTTTGCCTGCCTTGGTTTCTTGTCTCCTGCCAATCGAGGTGCTTTGATGACTTGTGCAATGGTGCGTAAAAATCAATGGATTTATTCATATTTTTGTTCCTCTTATGTATAAAAATAATCTGGCATGCTAATTTTATTATAATGTAATTGTATCTTTGGTCATGCTATTCATTTTTCTTATTGTCACCTGTTTTTAAAATTAAAATATAATTAGCTAAAAAAAAATCAATTGATATTGACACTTAAGAGATTTGATGACAGATTAACAAAACATTTCTTGACATTTAGTATGCCTTCAGGTGTCTGGAAAAGAAAGTGGCCTCCCACTATTTAGCTTGATAATGTCAAATAAGACCCGTGGAGCTGGATAGGCGGTAATTCTGCAGGCTGATTGTGACGGCCTAGGCTGTAGTGCTAAAGAAGAATTAACTGCATCAAACTAATTTAATAAATTATATATTTCTAGCTATTCATACTTTAACTTGAACTAAATTTAGAATCATGTTATTTTTTTATCTTGTGATTTAATAGCAAATGAACCATTGCAGTCGATAAAAAAATAGTTATATGGATTCATAAATATAATCTGCATTTGAATAAATTTTTCTATATGTTTTGAATATTATCTAATTTTTTTCATTTAAATATTTTTTTCTGATCTAAATAATGTAATATTTTTTTATTTTAAAATTATTTCAATATTTTGTTTTAAAATAATTTGATTTTTTGAAGTACATTTTTTGTTAAATTGGAATTTTTTAAATTTCTTTTATAAATTAAAAACTTTTATAATTTTGCTCACTTTATAACTTGTCAAACTATTTGAATCTCAATTACATGGAAAAATATAGCATTAATATTGACTTCCTATCCAAATATTTAAATTTATTTAAATATTTAAACTTAATCTAATTTTAGAAATTGCAGATGATTTATCTAAGAACTTGCAGATGATAACATTGAAATAAAAACTTAACATTTCTGAGGAAGTAATTAATATAATTGCTTTTTATGATGTTCTGACTTGCACTTTCTTAAAGTTACTGCAAACAAAATTCACTAGCATACCATCACTGAGTAATAAATTCAATTACCAGAATAAGGAGCATTGATTGAATGTAGGGTATATTTGTTGTTAGTGCTGAAATTTGATATAATTGAAGTGTAAGATTGATATAATTGAAGAGTAAGATTAAAACATTTTTCGCTAGTCTGCCACTATGCACAGCACACCAAGTGAAAATATAAACTATCCAAGAACTTCAATAAAAAGGCTTGGATCACTATAAGTTGTTGGGCCAAACATTATGACAGTGGTATCTCTGCTAATTCAATTACAATTTAGTATCAATCTGTTACTCTTTAGTGTTGTAGGTAGCAGTTATGACAGTTATCTCACTAAATTACAAATTATTTAAATTCTTGGTAACAAACCTACTATTTGCACCCCGTTCATTATTTATATTCTTATACTAAATAGTTTTAATTACTACTTTTATAATATCACTTTTTGAAGTTTTTTCATTAATGTAAACTATTATTATTAGTCAATATTATTTATTTGTTTACATATTTCAATATTTATTAATAGTTCAATGTTATTTATTAGTTATTTCACTACATATGTAATACATTTATTAAGAATTTCTTAAATATATTAAGTGTTTAAATATATTTACAGTGTTTAAATTTTTTAGTAAAACAGGGAAAAGTTTTTAAACAACAGGTAATTACACATCAAGCAAACATAATGCTGAATCTCGTATGAACAATTATATAGAAGTTATGTATCAAAGAATGTTATACTAATGTAATTTTGGTGTCGATCATCAAAAGGACCAGGGAGAAAAACCTTTAAAGAAATGAAAGAAATATGTCAAAAATAATGAAAGAATTTTGAAATTCCTTGCAGATTTTCGAAATAACCAAAACATTTGAACACTGAAAAAATATTTATGAGGGATTGCCCACAATTTATGAATTAGCCCACAATCAATGAATTAGCAAAAAACATTTTTAAGTTTCAATGAAAACTATCCTTTTTTTGTATTCTATTATTTACGTAATTATGTTAATTATTTTATTTTGTAAATTATGTTAAAAGTTATATTAGATATATAGTTATATGTTATATTAAAGTTAAGTAAACAAATAAGAATTGCTGTGCTAACTATTGCTATGTCAACAATATGAATGCTCTTTTCATATAATTCCTATCTTCAAAGGAAGAAAATGTTTGAAAAGAGGTCAAATTTAAGAGGCCAATTAGCTAAAAATTATTAAAGTGGAAATAAGGATCATTATAATTACTTTGGAATGTTTCACATATTTGGTAATATTTTTGTAAATTTCAATATCTAAAAGAGAGAGAGAGGGAGAAAAAAAAGTAATGGCAAGGAAAGGAACGTTAGCGAGACTGAAACATCTTACTTCTTTGTAATATTACCTATTTTTAAAGTATAATTTTTTACTTAAAACATTTATTATTTAAGTACATTTATTATAATTAAATATACTTAAGTTTTGTAATCAATTACATTTTATTACTTATTTTAATGTTTGGTAACAGTCAAATTTTATTAATATTTTTAGGTCCTGTATGTTTGTTTGGGTACTCCTGCAGGGTATGTTTCTGCTCGAATGTATAAAGGTATGTATTGACCTTTTTAATATAAAATATTCATAAAAAAAAGTATTATTCAGGGTAACAAAACGGTACATATGTATTTCAGCTTTTGGAGGAATTAAATGGAAATCAAATGTCATTTTGACTTCAACACTCTGTCCTGGGTAAGTAATTGAATTCTAGTTTGTTTCATGTTTTAACAAATTTCAAAACTACACAATTGGTTTCTCAATAGTAAATTTGAGAGAGAAAATATTCTTCATAGTAACTTTTTTTTCTTCAGAACATGGGCATCTGCTTTGAATTGCATTGTTTAGGGTCTTATATCACAGAATAGCTGTTTTGTCATTAAACATTTTACAATTTTTTCCCTGTCTTTTGAAATTAAATAAAAGCTTATTTCTTTTTGACCAATTATTTTCTCATTGATTTCACCAACTAATATGTTCTCCATATTCTAAAATTTGCATTAAATTTTTTTTCTTTATCAATGCTGTCTGAAGTAACAAACAAGTTTACTTTTATTAGTATAGTTAAGAGTGACTATTTATGAAAATAGTAAGGGATGTTTCATTTCCCACTTAGCCCTCTCCAATTTATATTACAATTAAAATAATTTTCAGATTTATCATGCAGTATGTATGTACAGCAAACAAAAAGTTTTGTAACATTTTAGTATTTCTTGAAATAATGCCGGAGTTTGTTCTTCTTAATTTTCTTTGAGTAACATAATTTTCAGGGAATAGTTTTCATGATCTTATGTCATAGCTGGTTGTAATCATTTCATTCTGTATAATATCTAATCAATATGATAAAACTTTATTTCATTTTTAATGTATGTATATTTTGCTGATAAACATATCAACGGTGAAATCTTTCTGCATTTTAGAGAAATTTAACTTTTTAACATTTTTAAAAATCTTTTCCGCCAAAATAATTTTTAAAAATTAGAATTTTTCACTTAAAAAATTACTTTTTTTAAACTTTTCAGTTTTTTTTTAAAAAAATTCTGTTTTGAATAAAATAATCATATTAGTTTTGATTTTTAATGATAAGCAAAAAGTTATGATGATTTGTAAAAAGCACTGGAATGGAAAGTTAGACTGGAAATGGAAAGTTAAATTGTTCAAGTATACTATTTCTAAAACAACTGCTTCGTTGGCAGTTACATCAAAACTGTATGGATAAGTTTTGAAGTTAAACTAGAGGGTGCAGTGCAAATATTTTCAAATTAATGACAACTAATTTTGTTAAAAGTCTGCAATTTTTAAAAAAAATATTGTCATTATAGCGTCAGTAAAATTCTAGTTATAGAATTCTTAAAAGAAATTTGAAATTTGAAAATGCATGGTGATAGAACAATAAATAACTATTGAAAAACAATCTTAAATGACATACTCTTACAATGGAGGAGCTGCTAATAAAGTGCCTCTAAAAATGATTGCTCTAATTTGAAATTGAAGTGTTATATTATCATATTATATATNAATAGAATTTCTACAACTATTCTTTAACAAAGACATTTTATGAAAACGAAAGAGATTTAATGGTTTTATTAATACAAAAGTATTTATAATTTTTATTTTACATACATATATATATGTAAGAATTAAAAAAAAACCATGTAGGAATTAACAAAGAAAAATTACTATAAAAACTTGGTTGATGTTCAATGAACAACAGACTGTGGATTATGTCTTAGGATGTGTTTTAATAGTGTCATTAAGTCATTACTCTGATCTGAAGCACTAGCATCATAATATATTAAAAATATTGAAAAAAATGAAGAAATTGTCAAGTAAATAAGCAATTGCCAGAATTTACATTGGAATTCTTGCAATTTAAGAGTATCAATAAGTGAATACTCAGAATCAAAACTGAAGTGTTGTAATATCATATTAAAAATATCAAAATTAAAATAAATAAGTGAAAATTTCTGACAAAAATGACAATTAATACTTTAGTTAAAGTAACATATAATGATAACAAAAATATTTTGATGAATGTTCGTTCTGAAAATTATTTTGAATTAAATTTGCTTTTTTGTGAATAATTTTTCTATGACTGGAAGCGTTTTCAGCCTGGAAAAAATTAAACGTTAGATTAAAAAGTGTACGTACAACTATAGTTGCTCGATATTTAAATTTTTCAAATGACTATATTCATAGTACAGTACAGAACCTGTTATCCGGAAATCAAAAAACCGGAATGAAATTCGATAAATTTTCCCGCCATTTTCAAAAAAAATTTTTTTTTTTCCTCTTAAGATTTTAGGATTTTTCTTTCTTTTTTGAAAGGTGTTTACCTTACCATCATTTTGGAAATAATCGTTGTGTATTACTTCATCGTTTTTTCTTTTTTTTAAGATTATTTCCAAATATTTATTTTTTTTTTAGTTGGGTTTAACAATAAAAAAAACGGCTTTTTGTAGCGATTCAGAAAATCTGAAAAATCAGTTTTCCGGAATAGCGATAGTTCCGATCGTTCCGGATAATCGGTTCCCTACTGTATTAGGTATGAGTGGCAGCTATTAATACCTTATGATACTATCCAGATTGGTGAAAGACTCTCCAAATTATGAAAGGGTATATATACTTATCATCCCATTAACACTACTATATTCAGTATAAGACTCTCATAAATCATTCTTGGAATATATTCGGTTGTTAAAATAAGAAGAGCTGAAAAGAGACTAATAGCTAAGGGCTAATCTAGGACTCACCATCAGCCCTGAATTCTAAATAAATATTAGGGTGCGTAGCGTTTTAAAAAAGTGCTTAAAGGTGCTTATTTTCGATTTTCGTTTTTTAAAAGCCCTTAAAGGTGCTTTTTTCATTGGGTGTTTTTAAAAAGTGCTTAATTTTCCCTTTTTCAAAAGGAGATTTTTCCCTTACCTTGTTGATTTTCGCTACGTATTATGCAAAAAGGCACAGTTCACATTGTTCTATTCAACATTTTCACAATTAATTCAACTCCAATCTATTTTGGTGTTTTGTCAGTCCGTAGCATATGAAAACGCCATTCGTTTTACATGATACAAAATTTCATGATTTTTGACAATTGTCAAAAACAATGTTTTTTTTTGGCATAAAATGAGATAAAACCATCAGTTGTCGAAAACTTTCACACCCTGCCTAATTATGAAATTTTTTGAAGTGCTTAAAAATATTTTTTGAGTGCTAGAAAAGTGCTTAAAAGGTGCTTATTTTTTGTTGAATACTTTAGCTACGCACCCTGAGTATTACCAAATTAGATGAAATCTAAAATAATAGAACTACTAAATTTAGAATCAGAAATGACTTGTCTTCGAAACTAGAAAAGATCAAATTTTGAAGAAGCAACTGAAAATTAAACAATGCTTTATGCTATAACTTTATTTGAAATTTAATAGCAAACAATACTTTTTTGTTGAAATAATAAGGTATAAATAAAAGTTTGGAACTCATCGTCATCAAATTAATGATTTCCTTCTTCTTTTGTTTAAATTTTTTATAGGATTTAATTCAAGTCCATCATGTTTTTTAAAGTTATACAGACCATTTTTTTATGTATTTAAATAAGTATCTATAGGTATGAATAGTGTTCTTATATTTGCATTAAATATGACTTACTTAATATGTTAAACAATTTGATTACTATTCTGTACACAATATGTATTTTTAGTTTTAGAAGTTATTTGTTATTCAATTAACTATAGTTAGGGCTGCAGGTCTGTCGCGGCGCGAATTTCCGCGATGATTTCCACGAAATTGTCATCTTTTTTCCTAAAATCCGCGAATTTCTCAATAAGTCTTGACGTGCGTTAAAATTGCTTAAAATTTGATTTTTTTTATTTATTTATTATTTTTATTAAACAGAATTTTTTATTTTCCTGAACCTTAAATTGAACATTTAAAATTGATTAGATATTTAAGGGAGTGAATCAATAGCAAAATGACATGAAAATAGTTCAGAGATAAGAGATAATCACAATCTTGTCAAATAAGGTGGTCTTTCTACACTTAGGGAGGGTAATTACCTTCCTGAAGTCAGTAAGAGTACAAAAGAAATTGGAATCACAAAAGAAGGAAAATGTTATAAATAAAATCTTTGACAGAAAAATTGTTATACATGCTATTGCACTGGGCAATGAAATTTTTACTACCTTTCTACTTATCCAGTTAATTTTTCCTAGGCGGCTTCTTGTGATTTCTTAAATATGGATCAGTTTCTTAGATGAAGGGAGGGGACTAGTAGTTAGTAGGGATTTGTAACTAGTAGTTTGAATGTAGTAGAATGTTTGAGTTTTCACAGCAATTACTTCTGACAAAGCAACGGTCAAGGAATTGCCTGTTGGTGAAGGAAAATTGATCGAGTTTTGTAAATCAAAGACCGAATGCTCCAAAATTGGCAAAAGTGGCAATTCGAAGTTTGTCGGTGCCTAAAAACAGCGTTGACGCAGAAAGATCGTTTCCTAAGTATAAAAATGTATCAAGTGATGAAAGACGAAGCATAAGTTTAGAATGATCTGACAATGTACAATACTTTGTACCAAAATTCTGTTCATTTAATTAAAAATATTAATATTGCTTGAAATTCAAAGAAATACTTTAGTTGTGTATTTTTAAGCATTTTTATTATTTGCGCAATTTCTGTCTTTTGCATCATTTATATAATAAATTTTTTAATGTTTAGAATTTGTGTAATTTTCAAAATTTCCTGCGATTTTTCCGCGAATTTGGGGTCTTTTTTCCTGCGACAAACTTGCAGCCCTAACTATTGTGTAACAGATTTTTAGAGTAACAAAATCTTAAATTGCTCCGAAAATTTTTGGATAATTATTAATTGAGTTAAATTATTATTTAAGTTTTAGTATTTGTTTTGTCGACCTTTTCACGCGTTTTTCAGCACAAAGGATTGAGAAATTTTATTGCCTAATGCAATAGGCTTTGTTACCCCTCATTTCAGTAAAGTGTGAGGGGTCTAAATTTTTTCTTTTATTTCTAATTTTAATATACTTTAAGGAAGCATAGTATCCTTATTAATTTATCATTCCAGGCGTAGAAAGACCACCTTACTGGATGAGATTTATTATCTTTGAACTGTTTTCCTGTCAATTTGTTATTGATCTATTCTTTAAAATGTTTTATCAGCTGTACATTGTCAATTTTTAAGTTTTAGAAAAATACCAATTGCTGTTAATGTAGGAACTGAAAAAAATATACTCCTCCCCCCAAAAAAACTCTCACATTTTAAACAATCTGTGTTCAAATTTGAAATAACCCTAGTAATAAATGTAATTTATTTCAGCTACATTAATAAATTTTTAAAGTGCATTTAAGTGTTATATAGTTCTGAAATAAAAGCAAATATTCTGCATACTTAAGTTGCAAGGTTAATTACAGAGTTAAAAGGCTCCTTTTATTCTCTGGCTGGTTTATGTTTAAATATTTGGTGAAATAATTTTTTTTTGATATTTACGTTACTTTTATGTTTTTATAAGTGTTTTATTATTTTTTAAGGTTTATTTTTCTTATTATTATAATTTCTATATAGTTATTCTAGTGTTCACTTAACTATGCTAATTAATTAATTTTAATAATGCAGAATTTAATATTTGCCACTGTGCACTACTTTTCTATTGAGTTACATGAAAACTGGTTTTTTCATGCGTGCTGCAGAAAGTTTAGAAAATGTGGGTCTAAGCTCAAAGGGTGAAAAAAAATAACCTCTATGGCATTAAACATTATTTTAAAAGAATTCATTAGTAAATTGTGCATAATTCAGATTTTTTCATCTATGAATAGTTTTTTTTTAAATCATTGATTAAACTTGCTTAAGTTTTTCTTTTGTTTTTTATATTTAGGTGTGTGTTTGTGCTCTTTTTTGTTTTAAATCTGATGCTATGGTCAAAAGGAAGTAGTGCTGCTACACCTTTCACAACTCTTCTTGCTCTTTTATCATTGTGGTTTGGGATATCATTACCTCTCACTTTTGTTGGTGCATATTTTGGATTCAAGAAAAGGGTAATATTTGAAAAAAATTTTAAAATGAGAAGAAAAAAATTTCTAGATAAAGTAGGATTATTTTGGGAAATTTTTTGACGTTTTATTTGAATATGTCGTAATAAATTTCAGTTAAATTTAATATTTAAAAATTATATGTGAATAACTTCTTTTTAATGTCCAAGTTAAATTTTATTCTAACTAATAAGGGAATTTAAAAAAAAAAAAAAAAAAAAAAATTCTGCATCTGAAAATCACTGTCTTAGGTAAGACGACTTTGGGATTCCTAGTTTATCATTTTGAAATTAATTGAAACATTTTATGATCATATCAGACAAGATCAAAATCTCAAAAAATTTTAAATTTCTACTTTTGTAAAAAAATTTCGTTGTAAAGAAAATAATCAAAATAGAAGCTATAATGTTTTTCTATAATTATAAATAATTCTGTTATTATTTTTCTGTTATTATTATTAATTCTAGTGTTATTATACCTGCATTTTGATGTTAACAAATATTGTCCTCATGAGTGTGTCTTTACATTCATGATTACTGCCCTAATTATTGATCAATATATAACCAAAAATTGGCACAAAGTCATCAGAGTTCAAAATTCTTGGTTATCATAACATACAAAATAAACAAAGACAAAGGATATTATTTATAAATTTATTTATTATACTATGAATCAGAATGTTAACATAGCTTATTAATAATAATAGCTAAAATATGTATTTTTGAAGGAGATTTGACAAAGTTCATCACAGAAATCAAAAGAAAGACAGTTAATTGACAATTTTTGTAGATTAACAAGTTTAAATTATCTCTAAATTGATTGCTGTCTCACAACCTAATACTGTCTTCAGTTTAGGGTATTATTTTTTATTTCAGTAAAATTTAAGGCCCTCAGAGATATTAGGAAAGTGATAAAAACTCTTAACTTTATAAGGAAACAATGAAATCTTTATTCAATTTCGTTTGTTCTGTGTTTTAAGATTTATTTCACCTGAACACTTGAGTAATTAAAAATCAAACACTATTTAAAATTTCATTTAAAGTAGATAATAAAACTCAAAAATTATAGCATACTCTTTGACTGAAGTGATAGAAACATTTTATGTTTGGACCTAAATAATTTTTTTAAGTATCACCACCCAATTCAACCAGTTGAAAGATAAAGAAAAAAAAATAGTGTTTTTGTGTAATTGATTGTGATTTTTTCACATTTTTTCGCTTTATTTATAAACAGCACAAAGTTTACCCTTTCTTCATTTGGATAAATAAACTTGTCAATAAAAGTTACAACACTTAGTAAATATTTAGCATGTTTCATTCAATTATTTTATATAGCTTTATGATAGTAGAAAGCATGCACTTTTAAGTTTTCTGATTGAAGCATTATTTTTAGACAATTGAACATCCAGTTCGTACCAACCAAATCCCCAGACAAATACCTGAACAATCTGTTTACACTCAACCTGTTCCAGGAATAATCATGGGTGGTATTCTTCCATTTGGCTGTATTTTCATCCAACTTTTTTTCATCTTAAACAGCATTTGGTAAGATTTTCTCTTATATGATAGAATGTACTGACGAATTATATCATTCATGAGGAGTTATTGTTATAAACTTTAAATAGAAAAAATAGTTAAACGTTTTGCGTAAGTTATCTTTTAAATGTTTTATAAGTCTTTTATTAATGTGATACTTCTGTTATGAAGACTAATACAAAATGTACTGCCAGTTATTCCAGGGATTCAATGTTATTTTAGAGTTTATTTAAGAATCTCATACCCAACTGTTCATTTCAATGTAGCACCCAAGTAAAGTTTTATATATTTTTTCATTACACAAAAAATAGCTTCAAACGCATGTTAAACATCTTTGCAATTTCAGTACACAATAAAAGTACTTCAATGGAGAAATTTCCTCTATACTGCTTAATCAAGTTTAGAAAAACTTTTCTTGTCTACCTTTTGTGTCCCATTATGGAGAATTATTGTCTAACATATATATTCCTGTTTTCTTTATTTAGTTTTTGCTCAGATGTTGTAGTTCATTTAGGAATTATAGACTATTTAGGTACAGATACACATACAGTTGCACTTGTTAAGATGAACATGCTCAACATGATATATTTTTTTTTTTTAACGTGAGCTAATTTTTTATTCCCTATCTAATTGTATACTGATATAATGCTTTAAAGTACTTATAATGTGAACAAGCTTAACGTGAAATATTTTTTAACATGAATGCAAATTTCATTATCTTTGGAAAAACTTATACTTTTAACATGAATAGAAAACTTATTTCCCCTCTGTAAGAAAACTGATTATTCATAGTTTTATATATACATGTGTAGGTATTTCAATGGTTTGTTGTAATATTGATAGTTTCAAAATATCAACAGTCGAATGAAAGAGCTGTATGAGTTGAATATGTGAGGGGAACTGGCATCACAGGTAACAAAATAACCCGTTTTACACCCTAATAAGAATGGAGTTTACTTTAACTTCATGGGGCAGCCTGTAAAGAAGCATGTGTATAAGAGAAATAACTACCTATATTCAACCGATTATTTTGTTAGTAATCCTCTCTACTTGATGTAATAAATCAGTTTACTTATTTAATTTTGTCCTATCTTTTTTATTTCTTTAGTTTATAACCTTTATAGCTATATTTTATTTTTTAAAGTAGTAAGTTGTATTTATTGTGAGAGAACATTTATAACAGTTATTATTTTACGTATTCATATTATAAGTTTATACTGAAAATGCAAATGAAGATAATAGAGAATTTCTGTTTACTGTGTAATTTTCATTAGAAGAAGAAATTCTGAACTGATAATGTGAACTACTTCTAATGTGAAAATTTTATTTTATTTTAGGGGGACCAGAAAGTAATGTTGTTTTGGTGCATTTGATATTTGTTATTAAGATTTTATTTTTAACCAATAATGTATTCACATTCGTTATCAACAACTTATCAGTGCCGGATTGAATATGAATTGAAATGGATTGAAAAAAATGAATTGGTTTCTAAGACTATTTAAGAAAATGTGCCGAAATGACTTTACTTTCCGGTCCCTCTAATATATCCACTATCTACCAATAAGTAGTTAGACACCTGAGATAAAAGAGAAAAAACACAATTTATTCATATTCAATAGTTGGTAGACATGAGGCAATTAACCATGTTAACCCTCTGAGGCACGCTTTCCACATATTTTTGGGTGATTAAATGGATAATTGGAAATTCTGATTAAATGTGGGTGACAAATAAATTTAACAAAATCTTATGTTTTTTCCACCACAAAGTTCCAAAAATAAGGTCATGGCAAGAAATTCTGGTATGACTTTAAAAAAGTTTTTAAATTTTAAAAATTTTTTTTTTTAAAGAAGTAGAGAAGCAAAGATCACGTGAAGCAAATGTTTTATAGTTCTTTTAAATTTGAAGGAAATATGTCAGTTATTTTGTCGATTCTTAAAGTTATGCATTGATTTAAAAAATGAACATTGTGTTTTGTGTTATTGTCCTTCTACATGATTTATTTGCCTCTTTAAGTACTTGAATGTTTTTTTGTACACTTCCTTTTAGGTCAAGTCAAGTCTATTACATGTTTGGCTTCCTCTTCTTGGTATTCATTATTTTAATCATCACTTGCTCAGAAACAACTATCCTTCTTTGTTATTTTCATCTTTGTGCTGAGGTTTGTTTTAATTTTTTATACGCTGTACGTTAAAAAGTTATTGACATAAAGTTTCAAAAATAAATTTTTGTATTATCCAAATGAAAAAAAATTATCAGAGAATAATTTAGGATTATGCGCTGGGGACAATTTTTTTTCAGTATCTGACACTGAAAAAATCATGGCTATTCTAGGTTTGCTCTAACTCAATTTTGTATACTTTAAAGTAATTATGGAGTTGGAACAGAATTTGCGATAAAAATTTTCTCTGACTGTATAGCGTCCACTTAACATTAAAATGTTAATTTCATTTTTTGCCATTTGCATATTTTGCAATATCTTTGGAATTTTTTCTAAAACTTTTGCACACTTCAAAGATGTAAAAATATGTTAGATAATATGATATAAAAATTATGTAATGCTGTTCTATTTAAAAAATGATCTTTAATTATTTATCATTTTTATTATGTTCTTTAGTAATGGTTGAAATAATTTTTATTTGTAAGATAAACTCACCAATTTAATTGTTATAATATTTAATTATTATTGCAATTAGTTTAAATAACAAAATTAAAAATTTGGACCAAATCAGTAATAGTTCTTAAGAACTAAAAATGTGCAAATATGGTTTTTTGAAATGTTATTACTCAGAAACTATTGGTATGATTTCATTCAAATTTTATGTTTTGACATTTAAATTTCTGTATCCTAAAATTCTGTGAGAATTTGTATACTTAACAATTCAAAAAAATCTTTTGAAAATTATTAAATGAATTTATTATAAAAGACGATGAGAAATAATTCTTAGATAAACAAATTTTAAATTTGTATTAAAATTTTTTTCAATATTCTCAGAAACCTCTCAAGGTACGTTAAAGCATGATAAAGTGAAATTAACAATAAGGGGTCTAAAACTTTGGCCACTGTGCAACCATTGAAATTATATATTTTTAGATTTCATAGAGTTAGATTGTTCTTCTCATAGTTTGATTTTATGAGATCTAAATTCTTTTAAAAAAAGCATGTTTATTCAGAGAAAGTGCATTTTTGTGTCTGATTTTGTAACTTAAAATTACTGTCTGCTCTAATTAATTAGCATGTTTAGGGTCACTTCTTTGAACTATTAAAATTGGCTCTTAGTTTGTGAGAATTCAATCATGTGTACCATACATTTAATGACAATATTAAAAATGTTAGAATGAAAATAAAATGTTTTGAGAAGTTAACTAAGTCAATAATCTCCAGAAACTGAAGTGGAAATATATACCTTTTAAAAAGCTTCATAAAGCATGAATATAGAAATAAAATTTTTGAGCACTTGAAACACTTAGACTGTAAATGTTTCAAGTGCTCAAAAATAAGATAAAAATAAGAGATGCCTGCTCCCAAAACGTACCAGACGTAAATTAGGAATAATTTTCATCTGGCACGTTTTCCAAAGGGTGCCTATTTTCTAGTTCTTGAAACATTTTGACTTTTTATTATTAACATATTTTTTGAAGCTTATGAAGATTCTTTAATCAAGCACATGTAGGTTAATATTAGCTAATGTAAAGGTTAATATTAGCTTATAACTGGAAATATTATGTTTTCATAGCATGTCAATAATTTAAATCAAACTTATTAAAATCACTTTTATATAAAGAATAAAAAATAGTTAATAAATTTTTTTATTAAGAACTCTATACATAAAAGATATATACTGGTATATACTTACCCAGGTATATACTTACATAAAATTTGAATCAATTTAAGCATAAAATTTCATTTTAAGAAAATTATTGTAGGTGTATGCAGATATTTAAGTGTACAATATTTGAATCAACTTAAGCATAAAATTTCATTTTAAAATAATTATTGTAGGTGTTCGGTGTCAACAGTAAATACAGACATTTAAATGTACAATATAGTTATTTGTGTATTAGCAATCAGTAGTTACAAAGAGGATAAATAATTATTCTTCTTGTGATGAATAACTATTACTCATGTAGTTTCAAATACATAAAAATTTTCTATTTCAAATATATAAATGTATATACAGTAGGGAACCGATTATCCGGAAGGATCGGGACCTTCGCTATTCCGGATAACTGATTTTTCCAGTTTTCTGAATCGCTACAAAAAGCCGTTTTTTATAGTTAAACCCAACTGAAAAAAAAAATATTTGGAAATGATCTTAAAAAGAAGAAAAAACGATGAAGCAATACACTATTGATTATTTCCAAAATGATGGTAAGGTAAACATCTTTCAAAAAAGAAAGAAAAATCTTAAAATCTTATGAGTAAATTTTTTTTAAAAAAAATGGCGGGAAAATTTATCGAATTTCGTTCCGGTTTTTTGGTTTTCCAGTTTTCTGGTTTCTGGATAATGGGTTCTGTAGACTTGATTTATAAATTTATTTATTTTTTAATCAGAAGTAACATAAAAGGAAAGAAAAGCATACATTTTTGAGATGGTACGTCTGCAGTTCTGACAAAAAATATTTTTTTGTAAGAAAGAAAAAATACGTAATTTTTATTGATACTTACATATTATATATAGGACAAAAAATTTAAAAACTTAAATCTTTTAAGGGATAATATTACTTTTCCAAGATATTTACAAGTTAAAAATTGAAATATTTTTTTTTTCATGTTGTCTGAGTATTGTATTTCTGTATTCCGGCTTAATTTCTAATTTCAATAAAATATTTTGAATTTTAGGATTATCATTGGTGGTGGCGAGCTTTTCTGACGAGTGGTTTCACTGGCTTCTACCTTTTTATTTATTGTGTTCACTTTTTCGTCACGAAATTGAACATCACTGGTGCCGTATCAACTCTACTGTATTTTGGATACACCTTAATCATGGTTTTCTTGTTTTTCTTGCTTACAGGTGATATATATGTTTAAAAAATTTTTATGTTAACTTATTTTTATTTAAATAAATTTAAAATTTTACAGAATTTTGTAATTTTTAAAAATAATTCTGTAACATCTAGAGCAGTGTTCCTTTTCATCACCGCGGACCTGTCAATGTTTCAGAATTTTACCGCAATCTGCTGGGGGGGGGCCTTGATTGTATATATTTTAGATTATTTTGATATATTAATTTAATTTAATTGTATTTAAACAGGCCTTCAAAGTAAAATACAGTTACACCAAAAAATAAGTATAAAGTGATATAACATTTTAACTTACTGGAACGTTAAATCTATGAAAACCCTGAGTTTGTTTCTTTGCAGTGAGACTTTTCCATCTGGGGGTAATCGGAGACAATGATACAATACAAATATTAAAAAATTTATGTCACTACCTTCGGGGGCCCTTTTTTGAAATATATAGAATTTTAATGGAACACAGATGTTTTTAATTTGGAGTATGAACCTAGGAATTTAAATTCTGTTTCAATGAAATGGGTGGCCTGGTACCATTTGATCCATTTGAACCATTTGATGGTCCGCGGACACTGATCTAGATCCACTGATCCACTGTTGGGGAACACAGATCTAGAGCAACCGAGATATTTTGTAACTCTAGCTAAAATTGACATTGTTGGTTTAAGACAGAATGGCAATTTATTAAAGTGTGGCAAAAATGATGCTTAAGATGAAAATGATGTTCTTTGAAAACAAAAGTTTATTAAGTAGGAACATATGAAAATGATTTTTAAAAGTTTAACAGAATTTTAACAGCATCATTTCAATATTTTCTTGCAACCAAAAACTCAATTTGATTCAGTAAATTTGAATATTTCTTTATTGAACTTTCTAATTTCAATTGTTTTTATCAGTGGAGTCTCTAAAGTTTGTATTTAATATATTAACTTATTTATGTACAATATTTTTTATTTAATATTTCCACCTGTCACACTATTTATTGTCAACATACTAGAGACATTTTTTGTTTCATTATTAAATATATTTGAAAACATGGAGCTGTAATAAAATGATATATTTCCTTGTGTAGTAGAAAAAAATACATTTATTTGTTCAAATAATCTGAACTCTGGCCTGCCTAAAAGGGCATATGAAAGCTATTTGTACCTATAAAACTCAGTGGCGCGACAGCCCTAGAGGGCCAAGGCCTACTGTGCCCTTCTCAGTTTTCTTGACCATGGGCTATGGGGTGCAGGAGCAGATGTTCCGGTCAGGTGGTCAGCCGAACGCGGAACCCCCAGTGTTTAGATCCCAAGCATGCTTGGTACTCATTTATCGACCCACTGAAGGGATGAAAGGCTGAGTCAACCTTGCCCGGCCCGAGGATCAAACCAGGGACCTGTTGCACGACAGCGCGAAGCGCTACCGCTCAGCTACCGGGTGTCATTTGTATCTATATTAATTGAAATTTTGGAGAAAATTACAAAGATTTGAAAAACACGTACAAGGTGAAATAATTTCCTAAAATAAAGGAAAAAATATTTAAAAAATGTCTGCTATTTTTATAATTTACTTACTCTATCAAAATACCAACACGTTTGCATAATCTAATCAATAAAAACAAATTCTGGAAAATTCTTTAAAATTTGCTTGAAATGCCAAGTGTCCTCAACTGAGGACAGTAAAATATAATGTTATATAAAAAGAAAGAAAACTGCAAGAAACAAATTTATTTAGCGTTATATGTTGAACTATACTCTAAAAAGAAAAACTGATAAATAAAATAGCTTACCTTAATTTTATTTGATGTGACTGTATGAAAAGGAAAAGTCTTGTGTGAGGCTAGAAAAATCACAAAATGGTAATCCTAATAACAAACTAAATATGGCAGCACATATGTTAAAAATATGCTGTTATGTTGGTAGTGCTGCCAACTATCTTCCCAGAAAAGAAAAATTCTTTTTAAGATAAAAATAGAAATTTTACATAATGTTTTATTGACTGTCCTCAAATGAGGATAGTGGGAGTTAATGGGTTAAAATTTATTGATTATTTTGAGTTTTGTTTACTAAAAAGTTTGAGAAATTATTGGAATAAGTAAATTTTTTTTCCAGGCTCTGTTGGCTTCTTCGCCTGCTTTTGGTTTGTTAGGAGAATCTACAGTGTTGTTAAAGTTGATTGATTTGGACTTCTAGTTTAATGGTTTGGAAATGGCGTCTTCATTTTATGGCTCTACCTGAAATGAGCTAATGTGATATGTTCAACATAGATACAGTGAAAAAAATTTCATTATTTTGAATAAACTGTTTAAGCAGCAAGAGTTAGCTATATATTTTTGATTTTGTAGTTTTAGCTCATATATTAAATTTTCTTGGTGTTTTGTATAAACATCAAGCAAATTTATTAGAATTATTATTTAATATTATTTCAGCTCTTTTTTACTTATTTTATTCAGGTATACAAAATATTGTATATAATGCTGGTTTGCCATAGTAATAATGTAAGTTAAAGCCTTTCTTTATTTAAGATTTATTTACAGTTAAATATTTTGTATTAATTTCATGTTAAAAATTTTTCATTTAAATTTAGAATTTTCTGGTCATTTCAAAATTTTATTTAGAGTGTTCATATTTAAATTCTAAAGCTAATTTTTTTTTATGTTATACATCAAGTAATGCATTTAGTTGCATTAAATTTTGTTTATTTGTGCTCACTTTTTTAATCTATTTCTATTTACTACATAGTTGAGTTTTCATTATTTAAAGGACGAACAATTTTGTGTATGTACTTTTATAAAATGTAATTTGTATTTAACTGACTTGTTATCTGTAAGGGAAAAGGTAATAAACATTTTCCTTTATTATTATAAAGAATCTAGTCCACATCAAGTCGCAGGTATAACTGCTTATGAGAAAGTACTCTTGTTAAAATTTTTATTACCTGCTGCTCTTATTTAATATCAAAATTTTTTGCTCTTGTAGTATTTTGTAGGATTTCTGGAATCTTTCATTGGGTTGTCAGAGTTTTTTTCTTATCTTAAACCAGGGTTCGTTAATGTGAGTCCAGCCCAGAAAAACTTGTTATGTTTTTGGAAAAAACTTGAATATCTTGAAAAAACAAAAAACCCCTTCCCCTGTGTAGGGTTTTTTCCATCCTTATTTAAAATTAAGTTCAACTTACTTTTTCAATCCATTTTCTTTGCAATTATGAATTAAAATTAAACTTTGTGATTAGTTTGCTATATGAACTTATAATTGGGTTTTACTATACTGGCTATTATTATATTAACTGGGTTTTTGTAAACCCAGGTACAGGCGAACCCACACCTACAAGTTCAGAACATAATATGTGACTTATTTTCTTTATTTTTGCTTGTTTTGTGCGATTTCTAAGTTCCTGCTTTCTGTGGTCAATTTAATATTTATTGGGGCTTTATTTCACATATTCAGGAAAAGCTGCCTTAAGTTATTTACTTCCTATGTCATTATTATTAATTGCTATTTTTTTAACCACCGAAAGTTCAAATTTATTTTGATTAATTGCATTTGTTTCCATTTTTTTGTTGTCAGTTGTACTTTTTTAAGTGTATAATTATTTTATAATTTAAAAGTAAATAATTAGTTTGATTTGGTGGGTTTAAAAATGCCTAAAAATTAAAAAAGATTTTTTTATGTCATCTCTTAGTATATTTGTTTCTATATAACGGGGCTGCTAAGTGTGCTCAATTTTTACTAATCGAAAATTTTTAGGTAATATTGAAGTAATGTTAAGATTTCTTTGAAGCCAGTTGTTTATGTTTTTTTTGTTAAAAAAAATTATTTCAGCATGAAACTATAGCATTAAACATTTTATTTTTACTAAGCCATATTTTAATTAGCATTTTCATTGTTTATTGTATACTAACTTCTTTTAGGTGTCACTTTAGTTTTAAATTAAAACGCCTTATTTAATTTTACTCCTTTTTATTTGCTAATGCTATGAAGTTTGAAAATTATAACTGGTAACTTAATACACATAATAATGATTATTATAATAACGCAATAAAAATAATGCAATAATAGTAATGTGACTAATAATAATTAATCAATAATATTATTATTGATATTGTTATGATGTATTTAAATCACACCCAAGAGTGTGCGTGTTTTATTATTAAGCAATACTCTTTATCTTAATAACTTGTGATTCAGAAGATAAGATTTTAAGACTTTCAAGAAGAATTTTTATTTACTCATTTTACTAAGAACTGCAAGCTAATTATTAGTTTCATTTTTTTTTAAAAAGTTTTGTGTGTTTAGTTTTTAATATTGAAATGTATAAAAGCTGAACAAAGTCATGATGGTTTCTGGGAACACATTTCTTCGAAGAGAGTTGCTTTAAGAGAAATTTACAAACTGCATTATAAAAATATTAAAACTGTTTGAATTTGAAATGCCTCTTAGTTAAAGCCACAAAAAATATTTATTATATTAATTTACTTTGAATAATGTTTGCAATAATATTATTTTTTATTGCTTTTGCACTGGGTGTAATTTTTCCTATATTTTTGAATTTTGTGTGAATATTTATTCACACAATATGTGTGAATATATTGTGTGAATATATTTAAATTTGTTATCGTAAAAACTTTGGAACTTTAATAAACTCACGAACAATTGTTGCGCCTTAATTTAGATAAATTAAACCAAATTAAGTTTAAATCCTTTCTATATCTATATAACTTGTGTAATAATATTACAGCATGAAAATAAAGCATTAAAAATTTTAATTTTTTTAAGCCAATCAACATTTTCATTTTTATTGTATACTAACTTCTTTTAGGTGTCACTTTAATTTTAAATTAAAAAGCCTTATTTAATTTAATTTGCTGGGTTTAGTTCAAATAAAAATTCCTGTTTTATTTGCTAATGCTATGAAGTTTAAAAATTATAACTAATAACTTAATACACATAATAATAATTTCAATAATAACGTAATAACACATAGTAAAAACAACGTAATAACACATAATAATAATAACGCTATAACACATAATAATAATTATGCAATAATAATAATATACTGATTATAATTGGTCAATAATATTATTAGTGATATTGTAATTAAATCATACACAAAAGTGTTCTTGTTTTATTATTAAGCAAAACTTTAGTCTTAATAATTTGTGATCCAGAAGATAATATTTAAACTCTTTTAAGAAGACTCTTTCAAGAAGAATTTTTATTTACTCATTTTACTAAAAACTGCAAGCTAATTATTAGTTTTTTTTTTTTTAAAGTTTTGTGTATTTAGTTTTTAATAGTGAAATGCATAAAAGCTGAACAAAGTAATTATCAGGGAACACATTTCTTCGAAGAGAGTAGCTTTAAGACACGAATGTACAAACAGCATTATAAAAACACAAACTGTTTTAAACTTAAAATGCTTCTTAGTTATAGCTGTAAAATTTATTTATTATATTAATTTACTTTAAATAATGTTTGCAATAATATTAGTTTTATTGCTTTTGCACTTGGTGTAATTTTTCCTATATTTTTGATTTTTGTGTGAATATATTGATTTGTTCATTCAAATTTGTTGTCGTAAAAACTTTTGAACTTTAATAAACTCTTTAAATAATTGTTGTGTCTTAATTTAGATAAATTAAACCAAATTAAGGTTAAATTTTTTCTTCATCTATATAACTTGTATATTATTCGAAACTGATATTTTAGTAGTTTCTATAACTGAAACAGTTTTTACACTTGTCAAAAAAAAACAAAAAAAAAAAACAATCCCTTGGTCTTATTGTCGCAAGCGCCTTCCTGTGATTAATGTGCAGACGTAATTTTTAATCGTTTTCTATTGGAAAATACTATTTCTATAGCTATTGCTGATCATTTTACTAAATTGAATCTTAAACAAGTATTATTTTTTTAAAAATGTATAGTAGTATTTAAACATTTGCATCAGAAATATTTATGATGTAAATTATTATTTACCTGTGTTTTATAATTTGGAGAAGAATAATTATATATTAATAGGTAATATGTAGTTGTTTTTAATCTATTATACCAGTATTCCTAATTTTAAAAGATTAATATTATAAATTTCTCACAAGAGATAGTGTTTATAGTTTTGTTTTACTAATTTACGACGTAAAGTATTTAAATATCTGTCTATTAATGTTATTATGTAATAGTTAAATTTTTGTCTTATTCTTGTAATTGGTGTATATAATTTTGTTGTGTTCCTAATTTTTGATTCCTAAGGTTGGCAGCATGCTTAAATTTAAACATGGATCTAAGATTCTCTTAATAGACCTTTTTTTCCTTTTAGAACCTTCAAAAAGACTAATTTATATTATATTCTAGTACAACTTATTTAAAACTCCAGCATGCATAATTCTTTAATTGTGTAAATAATATTTAAATACAAGAAAAATATTAAATTTAAACAAGCTTTTAAGTTTCTGCTAATTGGTTTAAATTGCTTTTATGATTTTACTTAAATCAATCAAATAGCTTTTATCACTCCTCAAAGTTTTAAATATTGAACAGACATTTCCCTTGATAATTTTAATCTTCACTGTTTTTAGTTTTAATAGTTTTGCGAAAAGTAATTCCTTTAATCATTCATTTTTTGAAAAACAAATTATTTTTGAAAAAAAAGAGAGAGAAACTGCAGTATCTTTGTTTGATTTATCTGAATTTATAATTATTTGTTCTTGTTAATAAACATTTGTAGTAAAATTGAAAAAAGTAAGTACATTCGAAATTTATTTCTACTAAAATTTAAAACCATTAAAATTAAATTACAAAAAAGCAATTTATCTATTTTTTGAAAAATTTTACAAATTACATATAAATGCAGTAACTAAGCAAATAAAAAAAACCAACCTTTAATGAAAATTTAAACATTTTTCTAGAGGAAAAAAAAAAAAGCATTTTAGCTGACTACCTGAGCTGTGTCTTCAAATTAAAATTTTTTTTGTCCTCTCTTGATTTACGATTAACTTTATTCTAATCACCATCTACAAGTTTATTAATGTTTATATTTGGTTTTTATAGCATTGGTTATTTAGTCCATTAAAAAGAAGGACTTTGCTTTAAAATAAAAAATTTCTAATTGGAGTTTTAGTGCATGTTCACGAAAGAAGCTGAATGGATGAATGTGAGATATTATGTAATTGTAAATTATACATGGTTGACATTCCACCTGGAGTGCTAGTACTTTCTTTTAAAAGTGTTACTTCAACCAGGATAATTCTGTGTATGAAGAAGGATTATTAGCACAGAAAGTTGAACATGGTATACAGCTTCTAAAATGCTAAGAAATGCTGATTCTGATAAATAATTTTAATGTTTTTCCTTTTGTGTTTAAGAATAGTTTTCTTTATCTATTTTTCTTTTCTATCGTTTTTTTTAATACTTTTATTTCTGATATCATGTTATATTTTATATTGTATTTTTCCATATTTTTTGTTGGTTTGGTAAAATACTCCACTTTTTACAAAATCTTTTAAAAATTCTGAACTTAAACATGGGAATATTCAATAGTTATATTGAGTTTCCATAGAAAGGAATTGGTGTTTTTTTTTCTCTCCACAAGTCTTCATTGAATGAAATTAATGAACTTGAAATATACTAGAGGGTATAATCAAGTGCAGAATATTATTTTATTTGAAGGTGTTATTGCAATACAAAAATTTAGTAATTACAATGGTTATTATAAATTCCATGTGAACACATATTAGATAGTTCAAAAGTCATATATGAAGCAATTTGGTATCAAAACTAGCTTAATACATTTTTAGAAGCATTTGTTTAGCAGGAATCACAAGTGAGAAAAATAATCTTTTATCGTAACATTGAATTTGGGTAAAAGTATAACAGATTTGATTTTTTTTTTTTAGTATTTTTCGATGGCTTTCCTTATCAAAAATTAGTTTTCTTTTTATGTAAAATAAAAAAGTTTTTTCGTGGTACTGATTTCTATATTTACTCCCTCGAATCAAAGTGATAATTTAAAACAAACGAACAATAATTTCATATTTTTTATGAAACAAACTAAAAAAAAAAATATAAAAAATCAATTTTGGTAAATGTTAGAATAAAAAAAAGTAATTAATCATTTATAAATCAGTATGATTTTGTTTTGGAAGATGGAAGGCAGAAGAATATGTGTAAAAATCTGAAGCAAATGTTGGTTATATTAAAAAAAAAAGTGGATCAAGCTCATTTTGATGGCAAACACCTCATCAAAAATTACATGTCCTTTCACCAACTGTAAGCTTCTTGGTGTTCATTTAAGAAAAGTATTGCAAATTAATTGGGTATTATTGAATAGTCGCATAGTAATACAAAAGCACAACAAACTTTCAGAAATCTGCATTGCTAACAACTGCAATAATTTTGTTATGTGAAGAGCAAAGGTTGCAGTTAAAATTCCTTGACACATTCTAATGTTTCAAAATTTAGTTTTTTTGTTAAAAAAGCATAATGTGTTTTAACTGAAAACCAAATTTTTATACATATTCACATTTAGATGACATAGTAAAATAACTTAATTTTTGTTAATTAACCATAATATTCCAAGTTAACCTCATTTAATATGAAAAGTTTCCTGTATTATTATTACTTTTTTTTTTTTTTGCAGAGCAAAAAATTTATGACTTATTTTAAAAAAAATTCAATTTGATTTTTGGCACAGTATGTAAGAAATGCAACTTCTTTTCATCCCTTTAGGGTATACAAAACAGTATTAGGAGCATTTAAAATTACATAATATCGAAGTTTCAAAGTAACTTTAGTTTTGATCACCCTGTTCATGGATGACAGTGATTCTGAAGTTGAATCATATTTAAGTTGTATTGGGCTTATTTCTTAAAGTTAGAAGCATAATATCATCGAACATTAAAAAGCTTGAAATAGGTTTCTTAAGAATTAAGAAATAAAAGGGAAAAGTTATGCATTCTATAAAGGAGTTTTTTTTTTATAAACTTAAAAAAAACAAATCAATGATAATTTATCATAAAGAATTAAAAAAGGAATAATTTAGCAAAAATAATAGGATAATGCATAATAATTTCCTGCTTGATTTCAATAAAAGAAAAACATTAAATGAAATGCTGTGTATAATAATCTTAAATACATAGGAAATTTTATTCAGATCGATTAGATTTATGATAAAAAATGTTTTTGAATTTGTACCTGTTCAACTATTTAATTTTTCTAAATAATTACTTCCTTATGATTTCCAATCTCATATATATAAAGTTAAAAGAACTTTTTTTAGACTATCATTTTCTAGAATATTGAAGTTTCTGAACTAATTGAAAGAAAAATGTTTAAGGAGTTCAACTTATTCAATTGCATTGTTTAAAAATTTATGTTCACGTAGTTCTGAAATATATATATATTAAAAGACAGTTATAATTATAGTTTCTATGATAAGTTCTTTATTTTATTTAAAAAAAATTCAATATTTGTGTAAGTATTATTAAAGTTTTGTTATTAAAAATCTGTGTAATGAGAAAAATCAACTTTCTCATTTATGTCACAAAGCTCGTTCATTTAAAACTCTCTCTCACTCTTTTAATTGTTAGTAGTTATACATTTAAAAATTCTAAGTGGATTATTGTATTTTTATTTAAAAATAATTTGTTATTGAATTGTTTCTTAATGTTAAAGCATCTATTACCAATATATTTGCATTAATGGTTCTGAATCTTATCCAAATTACCAACTCCTTAAAAATTTAACAAGAAATTTTTAGAAGAAGTTGCACAAATATGAAAAATTTGTCAACATACATATCGGTCGATGTTTAAATGAGATTTAATATTGACTACTGATTTGTAATGAAAAATACCCCAAAATTGCCAGATTTTGTTTAATATTTAAATTTTTTTTAAATTTGAAAATTCTTTACTTTTCACAGTGTTCAAATTGTTCTTTGATTTTTTTAAAAATTAAAAATAAACTCTAGGGGTATTACATGTTTACGCTCTTCTTTACCTTGTAATATAAACTTATATTTTATTGGGCAAACTGGGGATGAATATAAGCTTCAGGAAATTTTTTGTTGAAAAACAGTAAGTTTTTTAAATGGTTTTTAATTTTAGCAGAATACTTTCTTAATCATCAGTTTATGAAAATAGAAATAAAATTTAGTTTTATAAAATTTTGTGTAAAATATAATACCAGTTCTAAAGGAATAATGTGTCTTAAACGCAAAATCATCCGATTGTTTACAGAAACACATTAAATATTTGAAACAATAAAATAATAACAATTATCATTTTGATAATAGTTTTATTTTGTTTTTTAAAAACTAAAAATTAACTTATTTTGAAGTATGCTTGATGCAATGAACATAGTTAAATTTGTTTATTAAGATAAAATCTTAAATTCTAGATTAATATAATTTAAAATTTTTTATCAAAACTTCTGGTCAAAAATAATTTTAAATTGCTTACAATGTAAAACATCGACATGTCAATTTAAAAAGAAAAATATGAGTATAATAACGTAAACAAAATTTATAAAGCAAAGATAAAGAAATTGATAAACTAAAAATTGAAATCACTGATAATAGTACTTGTTTTACTGAAAGGGCTATTGTTTTATTTTATTTAA